GAACTGCCGTGTGGATGCTGGGAATCAAACCCAGATCCCTTGGAAGAGCAGCCAGTGCTGTTAATTACAGAGCCATCTCTCCAGCCTTAATATCTGTGTTTTTGAGGATGATAGCACCTGTGTCCTTGAGACTACTTTATTGACTTCTTCATTTGTAAGATGTCAGAAAGGGTAGAGTGGAGGATTTGATTATATCTGGTCTCAGATGGCTTAATCCTAGAAGTCTGACCCGGTGAAATTATTGGTAGAAAATGATGGGAGGGCTGTAGCTCAGTGACACTGTACTTGTACAATCCTGGCACTGCAACAGAAACAAAAATCCACAAACTAAGAGGTGCTTTCTCGTGAAGTATGGTGGTAGGAAGTCAAAATGGGCAAGGTGTGCTTCGGTTGACGCTTGCTGCCTTTTAGTTCCATTCTTTTATTTCAGTTCTAACCTTGTGATTTAATGTCTCTGAGTATGTCCTCTCTTTCTCTAGGTCTTAAAGTACACCTAACAGTAAATTTGTGCTCTATGACTCACTGTTTAATACATGTTTGTTGCTGTGATGTAGTTGGTGTTATTTTAGGCTTATGACTATCAGTGAACAAGACATTTTTTTTCCTGGTGGAACTTACATTCTATAATAAGCACTGACTCAGCAGTTAGTACATGCTGGGCACTACTTCAAGAGTTCTGCATTTAGAGTGTAGTTATTTCTGACAACAGTCCCATGAGGTAGGTACTGTTACCTGCATTTTTTTAGATCATGGACTGAATTACAGGAAGACTAAGTCCTTTACCTAATAAGTTTACATAGTTTTGTAAATGGCATTTTAATCCAGACAACTGGAGTCCCAAGTCCAAGTATTACTCAGTCCTACAAAAAGATGTTAATAAAAAAGGCATTTCACAGCCAAGTGTAATACTACCTATAATCTCAGGGCCTCCAGAAACTGAAGTAGTTTGATACCAACTTGAGCTGCATAGACTTCCAGGCTTTTTTTTTTTTTTTTTTTTGTAAGTTAAATGGAGAGATTTTTTTTTAAGGCTGGAGAGATGGCACAGAGGGGATAAGAGTGTTTGCTGCTCTTCTAGAAGACCTGAGTTCAATCCCCAATACTCTCATCAGGCAGCTGACAATCACCTAGAATTTCAGCTCCCAATATCTTCTGGCTTCCTCAGGCATCCATGAACTTGTGACATGTTCACATAGATACACACATGTCAATGAAAATAAAATAAATCCTTAAAATAAAAAATGGGGTTGAGAGATGGTTCAGTGGTTAAGAGCACTGGCTGCTCTTCTGGGGGCCCAGGTTTAATTCTCAGCATCCACATGGCAACTCACATCTGTCTGTAATTCCAGTTTCAGAACTTCTGACATTCTCACACAGACATACATGTAGCCAAACACACACACACACACACACACACACACACACACACACACACCCACACAGAGAGATAGAGAGAGAGAGAGAGAGAGAGAGAGAGAGAGAGAGAGAGATTGTGTGCACATGAGTGGTCAGGTTAAAAGCTCTTACTCCTCTTGGAGGAGGTCAACAGTTTGGTTTCTAGCACCCATGTCAGCAGACAGATCACAACCCCCTATAACACCAGCTCCAGGGAATCTGATACCCTTCTGGTCTCTTTGGGACACACACTCCAAATAAATGAACAAGTAAATAAATAAAAAAAACTTGAAAGATGAAATCTTAGGGCTACAGAGGTGGCTCAGCAGTTAAGCACTGGCTGCTGCTGCATAAGATGAAGGATCAGTTCCTAGTACCCACATGATGGCCCACAACTTCTAGGAGATCCAGTGCCCTCTTCTGACCTCTGTGGACATGAGGCATACATGTCATGCATATATATACATGTAGACAAAACACAAATAAAAACAAATTTTAAAAACCCTGAAACTGTCAAGAAAATTAATCTAGGTATGGTGGCACACGCCTTTAATCCCAGCACTTGGGAGGTAGAGGCAGGCAGAGAGCTCTGTGAGTTAGAGGCCAGCCTGGTCTACAAAGTTAGAATTAGCTTTGTAGCCAGGGCTGTTACACAGAGAAACCCTGTCTCAAAAAAACAAAAAACAAAAACAAAGTATAATAATAAATCATCCTTTTTTTTTGTTTTTCGAGACAGGGTTTCTCTGTGGCTTTAGAGGCTGTCCTGGAACTAGCTCTTGTAGACCAGGATGGTCTCGAACTCACAGAGATCCGCCTGCCTCTGCCTCCCGAGTGCTGGGATTAAAAGCGTGTGCCACCAATGCCCGGCAATAATAAATAATCTTAAAATGATTTTTTTGCATTTATTTATTTAGTTGGAAGGAGTGAGGAGTGCCATAGTGATATTGTGGAGGACACAGAGCAACATGGCCGGGGGCAGCTCTCTACCACATGGTTTTCAGGGATCAAACTCAGGTTATTAGGCTTGGTGGCAAACACCTTTACCTGCTGAGCCGTTCACTGGCCCCCTAGGCCAGCTTTAAGCAATACAGTGAGACCCCTGTCTCTAAAATAAAATGAAAATAATAAATCAGTAATTTCTATCATAAAGTTGTTATAATCTTGTAAATTACCTGATTTTCTTACCCAATCTTTAGAAAATAAACAACTGCTGTAGCTTAGTGATAGTTTACTTAGCCTAAAAAAGCCCTGGGCTTGATCCCTAGCATTACAAACAACAATAATAACAAAATTAAGCCAGGCAGGATACCAAAGTATCAGGATTGTTAGTTTTCAGGAGGCTGAGGCAGAAGGATGCCATGAATTAAGGACAACTTGAACTTCAGAGTGAGACCCTATTTCTAACAAAACAAAGACTGTCAAAGTAGCTTAGTGTATAAAGGCACAAAGCCTGATTTGCGTTCAGTCCTTGGGACCCGTGTGCAGAAAGAGAGCCAACTCTTAGGATTAGAAAAGGGTCATTGGAGGAAGTGTGTCACTTGAGGGTGGACTTGAGACTTCAAAAGCCAGGCCTAGAGTGAGTGAGTCTCTCTCTCTCTCTCTCTCTCTCTCTCTCTCTCTCTCTCTCTGTGTGTGTGTGTGTGTGTGTGTGTGTGTCTCTCTCTCTCTCTCTCTCTCTCTCTCTCTCTCTCTCTCTCTCTCTCTCTCTCTCTCTCTCCCCTTCCCCCTCCCCCCTATGGATCAGGATGTAGAATCCTCAGCTCCTTCTCCAGCACCCTGACTGCCTGTGTGCCGCCATGCTTCTTACCATGATGGTAATGGACTAAACCTCTGAAACTGTAAGCAAGACCCAATTAAATGCTTTCTTTTATAAGATTTGCCTTGGTCTTGGTGTCTCTTCACAGCAATAGGACAGTGACTAAGACAGGTGTCCTGACCTCTGTGTGTGTACTTTGCATGTGCTCCCACATACACATATACATGCCTACATGGGTGCATGCATACACATACACAATAATTAAATAAAAATGTAATAAAATGACTTTGGAGGGGGATGTTGTGAGGAGGGGGGTTTCTCTATGTAGCTGTAGTTGTACTGGAACTCTCTCTGTAGACCAGGCTGCCCTCAGCGATTGTCTCCTTCTGCCTCCCAAGTGCTAGGATTAAAGGTGTGCACCACCACTGCCCAGCCTATACAGGTACTTACAAGCAAAACAAATCTTTCAGGTGTACAGGAAAAGGGGAACCATTATTGTCTTTTGATGAACTTGTCAACCTTAGGAACCTTTCAAATAGTAGACAACATCTTGAACTTCATTCATAAGAATCAGAACTGAGACCACTACATAAAGGCAGAAACTAAAAAACACACTCCTGGTGAAAGGGAAGACTATAAAAATACTTGGCCAGGCAGTGGTGTTGCACACCTTTAATCCCAGCACTCGGGAGGCAGAGGTAGGCAGATCTCTGTGAGTTTGAGACCAGCCTGGTCTACAAAGAGCTAGTTCCAGGACAGGCTCCAAAGCTACACTGGGAAACCCTGTCTCCAAAAAAACAAAAAAAAAAACCAAAAAGCAAGCAAACAAAAAAACCTTATTTGATGGAATAGGGATATGTGATGTTTAATTTAATTGTCAACTTGACACAATCTAAAATCATTGGGAAGAATTTCAGTGACAGATTGTCACATCAGGTTGGCCTGTAGGCTTGTCTTTGGGGGACTGTCTTGGTTGCCTTGATAGATGTGGGAAGATTTAGCCTGAAAGTGGGTGGCACAGTTGTCTGGCTTTGGGTCCTGGGATGCGTAAGAGTAAAGAAGGGTAATTGAACACCAAATGTGTGTGACTCCTGTCTCTGCTCTTGATTGTAGTTGTGATGTGAGCAGTTGTTCTAAGTTCCTGACACCTGGATTGACCTTGTGCTGAAATCTGAAACTGTGAGCTAAGATAAACCTTTCCCACTTCTGTTGAGGTTCTGTCCATTCATATAACTCTGGTTTGTGTGTCAAGTGGACATAAGACTGGCCAACACAGGAGGATTCAGATATGAAAGTCAACAGTTTAAGAATTTTGTCTTTGTGGATGAGCACAGTGGCGTTCATCTTTAGTCTTAGTACTCCAGAGGTAGAAGCAGCCTGGTCTACATATTGAGTTCCAGTTCAGCCAGAGGTGGGTACACAGGGAGACCCTGTCTCAAAAGAAAAAAAGAATGCTGTCTTTTGGAGAACCCATAAATACCTGATTAGGGTATCACAGTGATGACTTAGGGAAACTGATCTGTTCTTCCTCTGAGGCCTTCCCTATTTGCTTCTGACTGGTTAGAACCTGCTGTGTGTTTGCACATACCCAGTGTATCCTCCCTTGTAATACTTACGGGGCTGTATAGAGATTGGTTTCAGGACTTGTGTTCTCTTGCTTCTGAAATGGACGTTAGAGATTGTATCCCACTGCCTAACATGGTATCTATTGCTGTCACAGTGTTCATTCTCTGTCTCATAGGTAATAAATACTTATTGAATGAGTAAATAAGTTTTATTCTCCACTTTTCTAGAAACTAATTGTTCATTTTTGTGTGTGTTCCCTTTATGTTCCTTCCTGTGTTCCAAGGAGGAAGCATCTCCCTATTCCTTACTTGACATCTGCTTGAGTTTCCTGACCACCAACCTTGAGAAGTTCTGTTCAGCAAGACAAGATGGAACACTATGTCTGCAGGAACCTGGAGTATTTCCACAGGAGGTGGCTGATCGACTGCTTCAGACCATGGCATTTCATGGTAAATGATGAAAGATGGGAGAGACAAATTGTGTGCTACTATGGCTCATTTAATTATTTTCTTAGAACTAGTAGAAAAAGTCAGATGAACTTGATTCTAGGAAAAGGAACTCAGTTATTTTTACCTGATTTGCCTCAGATTTACTGATTTTTTTCCCCCTTCCCAATCTAGGCAAGCCATTATTTTTCTTTTTTGATTTAAGAAGCAATTTAAAACACACACAGCTGGGTGTTGGTGGCGCACACATTGAATCCCAACACTCGGGAGGCAGAGGCAGGCAGACCTCTGTGAGTTCGAGGCCAGCCTGGTCTATAGAGCGAGTGTCAGGATAGGCTCCCAAACAATACAGAGAAACCCTGTCTTGAAAAACCAAAACAAAACAATCCCTCCCCCAACGAACATTTAGATTATTTATTTTATTTAGATGAGTGTTTCGCCTGTGTGTGTGTGCATTCATTCCCGGTGCATATGCAGATCAGACAAGAGTGTCAGGTCCCTTGGAACTGGAGTTAGGGATGGTTGTGAACCATTATGTGGATGCTAGAATCAAGACTCTTAATGTGAATGCTCTTGCTCACCAAGCCATCTCTCCAAGACCTAAAAAGTGATTATTATGTCACAAGGAACTTCTCCAACTACAGTATTTCTACATAAAAATCAACAGGTATAGAAATACCTTACATCTTCTCTTGACAGTGAGAGAATCAAATTATTATAGAAAAAACTGTGGGTTTCAAGACCTGCCTGATCTACAAGAGCTAGTTCCAGGACAGCCTCCAAAGCCACAGATATAACCCTGTCTGGGGGGGGGGGTGAGGGAAGGAAGGAAGGAACCATTATTAGCTCCAGGTTCAGTAAGAGACTCTGTCTCAAAGGAAGAAGACTTAAGAACAATAGAGGAGGACACTTGAAAACCTCCTCTGGCCTCTGCCCATACTTTCCCATCCCCACACATATTAAATGTGAAAAAAGAGAAATATATTGTTAGGTGTGTGTGCAGATTATGCACTCCAAAGAACAAGGACAATGGAGCTGTAATTGAGTTATTTAGTATAATTTAGAAAAGGAAATGTCTATGTTTGTTTTTACTGAATTGCCTAAGTGGAATCCTGGCACAGGACCTGGAATAACTATCAATAAGTAGTATATATATTAAAAGTAAATCACTCACAATGCTATGCAACAGTTTAAGAGATTATGCAATACTAGCATTTCTCAGTGATCATGTCAGCATGTTTAGTCTAAAAATTTGTTTTAGAAAGCCACCAACCGACTAGTATATAGTTTAAGATCTAGGTCCAACTTCATTCTTTTACACATGGGTATTCAGTTGTCCCTGTACACACAGAAAATTCTTCCCTCACAACTGTTTGGCTCTTATCAAAAACCACTAGACCATAGCTGTGAAGGTTTGCCTTTGAACTTCCCACCCTGCTGAATATATGAATAAATAAACAAACATAAAAGCTAGGTGTATTCACACATGCCTGTAATACCAACACTTGGGAGACTGGGGGCAAGAGAATCAGGAGTTCAAGGTCATCCTTAGCTACAGAGTGAGTTTGAGTTCAGTCTGCACTATGTGAAAACCTATCTCAAAAAAAAAAAAGTTTCAGTTTTGTGTTATATTAGTTTCTTTTCTGTTGCTGAGATTTTAAAAATTTGTTTTTGGTTTTGGGGTTTTGGAGACAGGGTTTCTCTGTATAGGCCTGGCTGTCCTGGAACTTACTCTGTAGACCAGTCTGACCTTGATTTTAGAGATCTGCCTGCCTCCCCCAGCTCTGCTGTTACTGTACATAACTTGTGTGCCTGTTGCCTGCAGAGGCCAGAGGAGGATGTTGGGTTCCCTGAAACTGGACTTAGAGATAGTTGTGAACCACCATATGGGTCTTGGGTATTGAACCCAGGTCCTCTGCAAGAGCAAGTGCTCTTAATCCCCTGAGCCATCTCTCTAGCCCTAGCATACTTTTCTTTTTCCAGTTTGTGGTAGCTTGTCCACGTAACTTGGAAAAGATGTACACACAAAAAGAAAGATTCATTATGGCAAAACAAAAGTCACTGCCAAGAGAGACGGGACCACCTGATTGGGAGAGTACTGAAGAAACTTGGTTACTGTTTGGGGCTTTACTTTATGGAGTTTAGTGGAAGGTGGAGCTGGTTATAGGAGATGTTAGTGAGGGTGGTTCTCTGTTTTGATTGACAGACAGGTTTGGGTTGTACTTCCTTTTCTCTACATGTCCCTTACCATGATGCAAATGATTTTAATCGTATGTATGCCTGATTATGCCTGAGCAGAAGATAGTAAGTGGGGGAGTCTCCCTAAAATAACCCTGTAAGAATAAGTCTTTACCCTGTGCCATAAGAATTTTGAGTCTCTAAAGAAAGAAATTAAAGATACCAGAAAATGGAAAGATCTCCCATGCTCTTGGATAGGCAGGATCAACATAGTAAAAATGACAATCTTGCCAAAAGCAATCTACAGATTCAGTGCAATCCCCATCAAAATCCCAACACAATTCTTCACTGACCTTGAAAGAACAATTCTCAACTTTATATGGAGAAACAAAAGACCCAGGATAGCCAAAACAACCCTGTACAATAGAGGAACTTCTGGAGGCATCACCATCCCTGACTTCAAGCTCTATTACAGAGCTATAGTCCTGAAAGCAGCTTGGTATTGGCACAAAAATAGACAGATAGACCAATGGAATGGAGTTGAAAACCCTGATATTAACCTACACACCTACGAACACCTGATTTTTGACAAACAATCCAAATATATACGATGGAACAAAGAGATCATCTTCAACAAATGGTGCTGGCATAACTGGATGCAAACATGTAGACGACTACATATAGACCCAAGCCTTTCGCCCTGTACAAAACTAAAGTCAAAATGGATCAAAGACCTCAACATAAACCCAGACACACTGAACCTATTAGAAGATAAAGTGGGAAATACCCTTGAATTAATTGGTACAGGAGACCGCTTCCTGAGCATAGCACCAGTAGCACAGACACTGAGATCAACAATTAATAAATTGGGACCTCCTGAAACTGAGAAGCTTCTGTAAGGCAAAGGACATAGTCAGCAGGACAAAAACGACAGCTCACAGACTGGGAAAAGATATTCACCAACCCCACATCTGACAGAAGGCTGATCTCCAAAATATACAAAGAACTCAGGAAGCTATTCTCAAAAACACCAAACAATCCAATTAAAAAATGGGGTACAGAACTAAATAGACAATTCTCAATAGAGGAATCTAAAATGGCTGAAAGATGCATAAGAAAGTGCTCAACATCCTTAGCCATCAGGGAAACGCAGATCAAAACAACTCTGAGATACCATCTTACTCCTATTAGAATGGCTAAAATCAAAAACACCAATGACAGTTTGCTGGAGAGGATGTGGAGAAAGAGGAACACTCCTCCACTGCTGATGAGAGTGCCAGCTTGTACAGCTACTTTGGAAATTAGTATGGCGACTCTTTAAGAAAATGGGAATTAGTCTACCACAAGATCTAGCAATTCCACTCCTAGGCATATACCCAAAAGAAGCACATTCATACAACAAAGACATCTGTTCAACGATGTTCATAGCAGAACTAGCTGTAATAGCCAGAAATTGGAAGCAGCCTAGATGCCCCTCAACCGAAGAATGGATGGAGAAAATGTGGTACATTTACACAATGGAGTACTACTCAGAATAAAAAAACAATGCAATCTTGAAATTTACAGGAAAATGTATGGAACTGGAAGAAACCATTCTGAGGGAGGTAACCCAATCTCAAAAAAACAAACATGATATGTACTCACTCATATGTGGATTTTAGACATAGAGTAAGGGATTACCATCCTACAATCCACACTGCCAGAGAAACTAGTAAACAAGGAAGACCCTAAAAGAGACAAACATTGTCCCCTGGAGAAGGGGAAAGGATCACCATCCCCTGATCAAATTGAGAACATGGGAAGAGAGGGGAGGAAGCTACGATAGTGAGAAGGGAAGAAAAGGAAGAATGCAGAGGTCATGAGGAAGCAGAAAATTTGAGTCAGGTGTAGAGTAGAAGAAAGGACATATGATAGGTAGGAGTTTAGTTGGGGGGTGGGAGGGGAGGAAGGGAGGGAGAAAGGAACTGGGATTGTCATGTAATTCAATCTTGTTTGTAATTCACATATATAAAAAAGAAAAAAAAACAATAAGTCTTTACTCCAATGCTGTTCGAGCCCTGCCGCCACGTTAAGGTCCCAAGTAACACAGAGAGACTTATATTAGGTACAAATGCTGCTTGGCCAATGACTAGGATTTCTCATCTGCTAGCTCTCTCTGTCTGTCTGTCTGTCTTTCTTTCTTTCTTTCTTTCTTTCTTTCTTTCTTTCTTTCTTTCTCTCTTTCTCTCTTTCTCTCTTTCTCTCTTTCTCTCTTTCTTTCTCTCTTTCTTTCTATTTTTCAAGACAGGGTTTCTCTGTGTAGCTTTGGAGCCTATCCTGGCACTTGCTCTGGAGACCAGGCTGGCCTGGAACTTACAGGAGATCCACCCGCCTCTGCCTCCCGAGTGCTGGGATTAAAGGCATGCACCACCAGTGTCCGGCTAGCTCAGTCTTAATTATCATAAATCTATATATTTTATAAGACTTATCTTATTGAGGATGCCTTCTGCTGGCTGCCCTCTCTTGCCGGCAGATAACATGGCAACTCCAGAGCAGAGAGCAGGAGGAAGAGAGAAAGGGGACCACTTCTTCTTGTTCTTGCTTATATATGAGTCTGCCTGCTGTGCACTTCCTGCCTGGATCTCTACTACATTTTCCAGAATCCTCCTTGACACCTAGTCCCACCTAACTTGCTGCCTCATTGGCCAAACAGTACTTTATCATCCAATAAGACAAACACATACACAGAAGCACTTCCCCCATCAGAATCCTCAGAGTGCCCTGCAGTGGTAACACACACCTTTGATCCCAACATTCAGGAGGCAGAGGCAGGTGGATCCCTGTGACTTTGAGGCCAGCTTGGTCTACAGAGAGAGTTCCTGGACATCTGGAGCAGTTACAAAGAGAAACCCTGTCTTGAAAAAACAAAAAAAGAAACAATAACAACAACAAAAAAGTTCTCTCAGAGGACACAGTTTGTCCTGATAGTTATGTACCTACAACCTGTCTAGGCTGAATTGGCCCAGATACTGGATACATCTCACAACATGTTTGACTAGAAATAGGTGTTATCTGGGGATTGCTAAGAAGAGTAACTTGTTTTCATTGTTAAAGCAGGCTTATATGCAGATGAGTGCAGGTGTGTGTAGGGTTCCCAGGCTGCCAGCAGGTTGCAAGGTGCATTGTTAAGAAAGGGCTGTATTATTGCAACTCTAGGTGTCCAGAGTTGGTCCCTGTGCTCTCTTGACTCAGTTTTTGTTCAGTGTGACAACTTTCATGGAGGCTTTTAAATGTCTAACAATAATTAAACTTTGAACACACTGGGTAAGTATTCCATCACATAGCAACAGCTCTCAGACAAAAATGCCTTAGTTCTGATTTGATAATGACTATGTGGCAGCTTGAACAGCATTGTTAGTGTAGACTAGCTGATGTGACCATAAAAGTTCTTTTAAACCTGTAGTATTTATCTTGCCCCAAATGCTTGCAATCACCACTGTGCACAGAGTATATATTATAGGTATGGCTGTTACTTCTTTTTAGTAGGTATTGTTTGGTATATAATTTTTTTTTTAAATAAGTTTTTTGAGACAAGTTTCTCTGTATAGCCCTAGCTGTCCAGGAACTAGCTCTTGTAGACCAGGCTGGCCTTGAATTTACAAAGATCCACCTGCCTCTGCCTCCTGAGTACTGGGATTAAAGGTGTGCACTACCACTGCCTTGGTGCTCTGTAATGTTTTTGAGATATGGCTCCAAAGTGTCATATTCTTGTAATACTATTGTCTGATCATCCCCCCCCTTCCATGCAGGGTTTCTCTGTAGCCCTGGCTGTCCTAGAACTAGCTCAATAGATCAGGCTGGCCTTAAACTCAGAGATCTGTGCACTGTCCCCCCCCCCCCATCCCCACCCCAAGTACTGGAATTAAAGGCATGCACCATCACTCAGCAGGATAGGTCATTTCTAAGAGGCTTCTACTTTGCTCTTTTTATTTGCATTTGTTGTATGATTTCTTGGTTTGTTTTTCCTTCTTTCTTAAGGAAAACACAACCTTTTTCTGGTGTGTGTGTGTGTGTGTGTGTTTGAGGGTTTGAGGTTTTAACTAAGTAGTGAATTCACAATGATCTTGCCTCAGTCTCTCTAGTGCTGGGATCACAAGTGTGTACTATAGTGCCCAGATGTTAAATCTTTTCAATAAGGTTTCAAGCACTGGCTACAAGTTTGAGGCTAGTCAGAGACACAGGGCGAGACTGGGCCTCAAAAACAAGAACAAAATATTGTGCTATGTTTTATTCTTGTGCTTTTTTGGAGGCCCTACACCCAGCTCCCAAATAAGTCACACACACAGGCTTTTATAAATGCCCAGTTTTAGCCTGACTTGTTTCTAGCCAGCTTTTCTTAACTATAATTAACCCATCTACCTTTTCCCTCTGGGCTTTATCTTTCTTTATTCCTGTATATCTTTTCTTTCTTTTTTGTGTGGCTGGCCCCTGATGTCCTCTTTTCCCCTTTTCTCCTGTTGCTTCTCTGTTTCCTTGTTGCTCCTCTATAATCTTTGCCTGCCAACCCCACCTATCTTTGCTCCTGCTTCGTTATTGGCCATTTAGCTCTTTATTAGGCCACCAGGTACTTTAGACAGGCACAGCAACACAGCTTCACAGAGTTAAACAAATGCAGCATAAAAAAAAAGCCATACACTTTAAAATAATATTCTACTACAACAAAAGTACACCAGAGGCTGGTATTATGGCTCACTGGATAAATAGCATTACCGCCAAGCCTAAGTCCTGAGTTCTATTCTAGGGATCCATGGGAAAGGAAAGAACTAACTCCACAAAGTTGTTCTCTGACCTCCACACTCATGCCATGCCATGAGCAGACATGTGCGTACACATGAATAAATAATAAAATTTTAAAAAATCTAAAAACTAAGCCAAGCAGGGTGTGGTGGTGCACACACACAATAGATAAGTAAATAAATAATAGATAAGTAAATAAGTGTAGGTCCAGGTGGATGTGGCACATGCCATTAATACCAGCACTTGGGAGGCAGAGGCAGGTGGATCTCTGAGTTTGGGGCGAGCCTGGTCAACAAAGCAAGTTCTAAGACAGCCAGGGCTGTTAAACAGAGAAACCTGTCTGGCTGTCAGGTTTTTGTTTGTTTTGAGACAGGGTCTCTCTGTGTAGTGCTGACTGTGTAGATCAGGCTAGCCTCGAACTCAGATCTGCCTGCCCCTGCCTCCTGAGTGTGGGGATTAAAGGTGTATGCCATCATACCCAGCTCTGGCTAATGGTTTAATAATGAATTCTAGCCATTATATGTACTAAATATATTGTGTGTATCTTTATGTAATAATGTACTGTGAACTTAAAAGATATTCTAGAAATATATTGGTATCAATATATTAGTGTAAAGTTTAAACCTCACTCATACATAATACTACATCTTTAGAACTTGAAGCCTTCTCCTTTGTCACAGAAGGAAAATAGAGTTGACTCTCAGGTGCTTAAGCCTGCAGCTCGACTATATCTAGCATGTGGTCCTATCTAATGGAAAGGAAGTGCTGGGGAGTACAGCTGCCTGTGTGCCTCATAGGGTGAAGAGAACCAGGTGTTAGTGAATGTCTGTCTTAAAGTGGACTGCAATGGAGTCAGAGCTAGATTGATAACAGATGGTTTATTAGGAAAGTACTCACACAACAGTGCCAGCGACCAGGTTTACACCGGATGCCTGCGTCTCTGATATTTAAAGCTTTGCTCTGTCACTTTGACCATGCCCAAGTGGGCATGGCCTGCAGTGCCTTGCCAGCCACCCAGTGGGCGTGGTCAGCATTTCCCCTACATGGTCTACTGTTACCAGCTCCATAATCTTGGAAAGTCTTCTTTTGAGCCTAAGTAATAGAATCTTCATCTCATCGAATTGTATCAAGTGAAATACAGCAGCATGGAAGTGTGTTAGAAATTTAAAAGATGTTGGAAGTATTTGCTGTTTGTAGTTTTGTTTTTTGAAGTTAAATTGTGGTTTTGTTTTTCTGAAGTTAAAATACTATTTGTTTTTTTCTAGGTTTGCTGAATGATGGAACTGTGGGAATATTCAGGGGTAACCAGATGCGCCTAAAGCGAGCTTGCATTCGCAAAGCAAAGATTTCTGCCGTTGCTTTCCGGAAAGCCTTCTGCCACCATAAGTTAGTAGAACTTGATGCCACAGGTGTGAATGCCGACATCACTATCACAGACATCATAAGTGGCCTTGGCAGTAATAAGTGGATCCAGCAAAATCTTCAGTGCTTGGTACTAAACTCATTAACTCTGTCCCTGGAAGATCCTTATGAGCGGTGTTTCAGCCGGCTTTCTGGTCTTCGAGCTCTGAGCATCACTAATGTGCTCTTTTACAATGAAGATTTGGCTGAAGTTGCTTCATTGCCTAGACTGGAGAGCCTGGATATTTCTAACACCTCAATCACAGATATCACTGCCCTGCTGGCCTGTAAAGAACGACTCAAGTCTCTAACCATGCACCATTTGAAATGTTTAAAAATGACTACTACCCAGATCCTGGATGTTGTTCGGGAACTGAAACATCTGAATCATCTTGACATCTCAGATGATAAACAGTTTACATCAGACATAGCCCTTCGGTTACTAGAGCAAAAGGACATCTTGCCCAGTCTTGTCTCCCTGGATGTTTCAGGGAGAAAGCATGTGACAGACAAAGCTGTTGAAGCCTTTATACAGCAGCGGCCCAGCATGCAGTTTGTGGGTTTGCTGGCCACAGATGCTGGTTATTCCGAATTCCTCACGGGCAAAGGACACTTGAAGGTTAGATCTTTTTTTTTGTTTTTTGGAGACAGCGTTTCTCTGTGGCTTTGGAGGCTGTCCTGGAAGTCGCTCTGTAGACCAGGCTGGCCTCGACTTACTCTGCCTCCCAAGTGCTGGGATTAAAGGCCCAAGTGCTGGGATTAAAGGCGTGCGCCACCAACACTCGGCTGAAGGTTAGATCATAAAAATGTATTTTATCTGACTGGTCAACTTTTTAGTTCCACAAGACTTTATTAGGATAAATGTCTAATATATGAAACAAGGAATGGAAAATCACTGTATAGTGAAAAGGCTTGCATTAGGGTAATATTCCCAAATAAAAGGCCAGTGGGGCCAAGCATAGTGAACACTTTTAATCCAAGCACTCATGGAGGCAGAGGCTGCAAAGTAAGACCCTGTCTCGAAAAGTCCAGTGGGGCTTGGGGATGGGGTTGATTTGGTAGAGTGCTTACCTCTAATCCCTGTACTATGGAGGCAGAGGCAGGCAGATTTCTGAGTTTGAGACCCGACTGGTCTACACACAGAATTCCAGGGCAACCAGGACTACTTAGTGAGACCCTGTCTTAAATAATATTAATAGTAATGACAACAATAACAATAGTGTTTTTAAAATATTTGGGCTGGAGAGATAGATGGCTCAGCATTTAAAAGCACTGGCTGTACTTCCAGAGGGCATGGCCTTGGTTCAACCTCCCAGCACACCCACATGGCAGCTCACAATCATCTGTAACTAGTTCCAGAGGATCTGATGTCTTCTAGCATTCACAGGCATTGGGCACACAGGTAGTAAACAGACGTACATACAGACAAAATCATAAACATAAATTAAAAAATATTTTTTAAAATAAGTGAGGCATGCTGTTTCATGTCTATGAATCGTAGGTAGCATAGAACACTGAGACAGGAGGGTTTGAAGCCAGCCTAGGCTACATAGCAAGGACCAGGTGAGTCAAGTCTACACAGCAAGGACCTGATTCAAAACAAAGGGTCATTAGACTTTTTATTTTTCCTGACACAGGGTTTCTATGTGTAGGACACATGGTCCTAGCTGTCCTGGAACAGGACCAGGCTAGCCTTGAACTCGAAGAGGCCTGCCTTTGTCTCCCAAGTGCTGGGATTAAAGGCGTGTGCCACCACTGCCAGCAGAACTTTTTTTATTCAACTATGTTCAAAGGTTGATGTTTTTTTAACTACTGATTTGACAGCTCAAAAAGAAGACAGGTTGAAGGAGGAGGAGAGCTGAAATTGCCTGCCTCTTTTACCTGGGTAGTGGTGGTGCTTGCCTTTAATCCAGCACTCAGGAGGCAGAGGCAGGCAGATCCCTGAGTTTGAGGCTAGCCTCGTCTACAGAGTGAGTTCTAGGACAGCCAGGGCTACACAGAGGAAACCCTGTTTTGAAAACAAACAAAAAATTATCCAATTCAGTGTAATTGATTAGAATCATGTCTGAAATGGTTATCTTAATATTGTGTTTGTGATGAGTTTAGGTTGGCTTTTGGCTTTTTGTGTCTGTTTATAAGACCACACTAATGGATGCAAAAAACAGCCAGTGTAATTTTCCAGTATTTATATGGGGCAGGTGCTTCTCTGTGTAGCTCTGTAGACCAGGCTGACCTCTGACTCCCAGTGCTGAGACTGAAGGTGTGTGTTATTACTGCCCAGTAGGGCAGGTGTTTCTAAGAACATGTGATGCATTTATTGCACTTTTATATGCATTACTTATTTGGGTGTCTCCATAATCCTCCTGCCTCTGATTCCTAGCTGCTATGATTACAGATGTGAACCACCACACCTAATTTCCTAATTTAAGGAAGTGGGTTTTTTCCCTTTTGTTTTTTTGTTTGTTTGTTTGTTTTTGTTTTGTTTTTAGATAGGGTATCATCACTGTGTAGCCCTGCCTGGCCTGGAATTCACAATGTGGAAGGAGCTGACCTCTAATTTACAGTGATCCTTCTTTTTGCATTTATCTCTAGAGGACTAGGATTAAAGCTATATGCTACCTACACTGTCCCAAAAGTCGTTCTTCTTAGTTTAATTTTGTATGTGCAAATGCTTTACCTCGATGTATGTGGACCATTTGTGTGCCTGGTGCCTGAAGAGGGCATCAGATCTCTTGAAACTGGAATCCCATACAGTTGTGAGCTGCCATGTGGGTGTTGGCAAGTACTCTGGAAGAGCAGCAGCCAGTGCTCCTAACTGCAGAGCCGTCTCTCCAGCCCCAGAAATGATTTTCCTAGGGGTAACAGCCAGCTGATCTTAGAATCTATTCCGTGCCTTGGATAGTTAGAATCTAAAGTTTGTGTGCTTTCCACTAAACCTATTACCTCTTCTGAAGTAGGTCTTGGTTTGGCTTTTCCTCAGTTTTCAGTTCCGCCATAGCTGGTTTTCTGACCACAGAATTCCTATGATTTTTGTCATCATTAGTTTCCTCAGTCTTGTACTTCACAAGTAGAGTTCTTAAATTTGTTGGCCATCTCACTTCCAAGGTTTACTTTATCAACCAAGTCTGAACTCTTAAGAATTCCTTGACATCTACTAAATCTAATCTTGATTTTCATACTTCATCCTATTTGACCCAAAGTGGTATTTGAGACAGTTAAATTTTTTAGATTTTTGTTTAAATTAGAAGGGTGAGAGATGGATGTGAATTATAGAGAATACATTAACCAGTTTATTATAGAGCGGAAGAGCGAGAGGGGGAGAGAGAAATGGAAGAACAGAGTAGGGCAGAGAGTGAGAGAGAAGAGAGGAGAGTTAGTGGGCGATCACCAGAAACAGAGTTAATGGCCCGACCACCATGGTTGATCGCCAGAAAGAGAGAGGAGAATAATGCTTTGGGTTTATAAGGGGGAGCTCGAGCATATGCACTGAGTCCCCATGCAGCCCCGTAATGAGTGACCTAGCCATGACGTGGCCACACAACACAGGACCCTTTAAACTGCCAAGGTATCTGCCTGAACCTTTCAATGTTGTCTTCCTTCTTGTAATACTTTTGCTTTTTTAAATTTACCTTCTAGGATATCACACTTAAACCTTGTTTATTTTTTCTTCCTTGTTTTCTTTTGTTAGACCCCCGGAAAACTCAGGTATCCGGGGTCGCAGGCCACGTTCACGGTCACCCCAATCACCAGGCGGATTCAGAGAGCTTGCTGCAAACTGCACGAAGGCTTTATTGTAATTTAACGAGCTAACTCCATGTTAGCTCGGGTCTTTCACCCATCCGCCATGGCGGATGGCTCACAATAGACGGTTCCTAGGGACTCCCGAGAGATCTTATAGGACAGCGTAAGGGGAGTGTCTAGGGGCACGCACAGGCTCAGGATTGGTGTGCCTCCAGGCTTGGAGGGCTTGCCCTGTGTTGATTGGTCAACTGGTTGTTATGGCCCATAGGCCCTCCCAGGGTGGTTGCTATACTTTGTGCGTCATTGCTGTGCGCTTGTCCGTAAAGCACACCCAGGGTCGTAAAGCATAGCGCCACCAGCTAACTTCTGATTGGTTCCTTGTCACGAAGCAGCAGTTTAATTTTCTAGTGTCTAGGACAAGGTCATAGAAGCACATGTTCGGCCATTATGGCTGCCAAAAGGGAAGCTGGTCCCTTCACTTTTACTGTATTTTTCCTCAAATTTTAAGGATTCTGCTGTTAAAATGTTCCGTGGCATAGCCCTGCAAATTTGTGTTTTATTTTGTTTCTATAGTTAATCTTACCCAAAAGTCTGAGAAACAATTATTCTTTCTTTTTAACTTTTTTATGATTTATTTTTATTTTATATGCATTGATGTTTTGCCTGCATGTATGTCTGTATGAGGGCATCAGATCTCCTGGAACAGGAGTTTGTGCTGCCTTGTGGGTGCTGGGGGGTTTGAACCCAGGTCTCTGGAAGAGCCATCTCTCGAGCCCTGCAGTTATTCTTTGTTGTTGTTGTTTTGGGTTTTTGGTTTGGTTTGGTTTTTTGAGGTGGGTCCTGGAACTAGCTCTTGTAGATCAGACTGGCCTTGAACTCACAGAGATCCACCTGCCTCTGCCTCCACGTGTGGACCACTACCACCTGGCTTATTTTGTGACTTTAGGTCTAATTTTTAAAACCACATTTATATATTTATTGGGGAGAGGTGTGCATGCTTGATGCATGTATGTGGAAGTCACCAGGTGTCATTTATCTTCTACATCACATGGGTGCCCAGAATTGACCTCAGATCATCAGGCTGACTCCTTCAGATTGCCCTCTAGCCTCTACACAGGTGCCATGGCACACATACCCTCAAAAAATAAATAAAGGCAAAAAGGTTTTTTTGGAAGTCTTTTTTAAGATTTGTTTTAGGCAGGGCATAGTGACACATTCAAACAATTGGGAGGCAGGCAGAGGCAGATGGATCTGAGTTTGTGCCCAGCCTGTTCTATAGAGTGAGTTCCAGGACAGAGAAACCTTGTCTTGTCCCCACTTTGGTTTTTTTGAAATAGGGTTTTTCTGTGTAACTGCTCTGGCTGTTCTGGAACTTGCTCTATAGACCAGGCTGGCCTTGAACTCACAGAGATCCTCCGGAATGCTGTAATCAAAGGTGTGTGCCACCACGCCCAGCACAATATGCTGTTTTAACCACCGAGGCAGCACTCCATCCCTGGAGTGTCTTTGCAGCATCTTGTAGTTTATAGGTTTTTCCTCCTCTTCTTTTTCAGTTTTTTATATTTAGATTTTTAATTTTTTTTTTTAGATTTTTAAATTTTATATATGATGCTGGGAATCAATCTAGATACTCTACAAAAATAAGTACTCATAACCTGTAAGCCATCTCTCCAGCTCTGTTTCCCCCTTTTTTTCTTTTGAGACAGGATCTCACTGTGTACGTGGCTGGTCTCAGACTCACAGAGATCCACTTATCTCCCTCGTTCTGGACTTAAAGGCATGTAATCTTATGCCCATTTTCCTGCATCCCTTTTATTGTTTTTGAGACAGGGTATAACTATGGCTCCTGATTCACCAGGAACTCACTATGTAGACCAGGTTGACCTTGAACTCAGAGATCCTCCTTCCTCTGCCTCCTAATTAATGGGATTAAAGGTGTGCACCACACCCAGCAACCCTCTCTTTTCTTCCTTTTTTAAAATTAAAAAATGATTACATTTATGTATATATGCCATAGTATAGGTGCGGTGGTTGTAGGACAACTTGCAGGAGGTTCTTCTGTGTAGGTTCCAGGAACTAAATTCAGGTTTTCATGCTTGATGGCGGATGCCTTTACCCAAAGAACTGTCTCATAGGCCCCTCCTTCCTTTCTTTTCCTTTAAATGTGTCTACTGGCCCCAGCATAATGGTGCATACCTCCCAGCACTTGGAAGCAGAGACAGGTGAATCACTATGTGTTCACAGCTAACCTGTTTAAACAGAAAGTTCTTGCCAGCCAAGGATACGTTGTGAGACTGTCAAAAACAAAACTGGTCTACTGAAAACAAAACAAAATAACAATAACAAAAGTCCTTTTTACTTTTAGAATTCTCCTCAGAGTAGAATTTAAAAATTTGTTTGGCTACATATGTTCATGGTCCATGTTTCTTTCTGTCTTTTTGCCACATTAGGAGTTGGGATAGATAGGGTCTTTCTGTAACGTCTCATGCTGACGTGGTACTGGTAGTGTAGTCCAGCTGGCCTTGAACTTATGATTCTCCTGCCTCACCTCCTAAATTGTGGTTCAGTTTTGAACCACCATTCCTATATTTTCTGCAAATTACTAGCTGGGTTTGGAGTTTAGTTAAATTAAGTACTCTTTGGGCTGGGCATAATGTTAGTCTTTTCTTCCTATAATATCAACAGTTAGTATCAGATTATTAATTCACTGGGGATTGTACAGTACCTAGATCTCATCATTCATTGGCGATCATCATTATATGTGTGTCTGTTCATGCATAATACAAGTGTGCATATGCGAGTTTGTAGATGTCAGAGCACACCTTTGTCAAGTTGGTTCTCTTTTGACCTTTACTTGGGTTTTAGGGATCCATCTAAAACCATCTCAGCAGCCCTGTGACTTAATCTCTCTCTCTCTCTCTCTTTTTTTTTTTTTTTTGAGACAGGGTTTCTCTGTGTAGCTTTGGAGTCTGTCCTGGAACTTGCTTTGTAGACCAGGCTGACCTAGAACTCCTCACAGAGATCCACCTGCCTCTGCCTCCTGAGTGCCGGGATCAAAGGCGTGCACAACCACCATCTGGCAATCATTTTTCACTTGCTAGTTTGATTACTTTATAGCGTCTCTTCTCATTAACTGTATTTGGTTTCCCAGTACTCCCTGAACCACAGTTTAACATAAGCATATTAACCTGTGCAAAATAAGTTAGATTCAATCCTCTTATGAATCTTACTCAATCTGGTGAAATTAACAGGTTTATTTGATGCATACATAATAAGTTTTCCCTCTAAGCCATTTGTAATGCTAATCACTGTTGATACACATTGAGTGGTAAATGAGTCTTAAAGTGGGAGGACTATGATAACTAGGAAAAATAAATTTGGGGGAAACCTGACTTACATTGGTGTGTGTCAGGAAGGATTTCTCTAAAGATGGGCTTGGCTTAGGAAAGGTAAGTACAGACTAGTTAAGCAAAGAGAAAATTTTAGAATGGACCTTGTATGTGATGACCTTTGAGCTAGAGCTTAGCTTTTTTAAGGATTATGGAGAAAGGCTAGCAATCATGATAGCATTATGATTTAAAGGAATGAGTTTACCCTAAGAGGCAGCTTAAAAGCCTCAGTGAGACAGCAAGGCTTGATAAAGTATGAAGTCTTGAGATTTATTCTAGGAGCTGTGTAGAAAATATTAATTACAGGCTTGTGCTGTGTCTCTAGAGATGATGGCTGTGGTGAGTTAGAAAGTGATCAATTCCATGTGTTAGCTGATGTTAAGATGCAGAAAGGAAGCCGGGCGTTGGTGGCGCACGTCTTTAATCCCAGCACTTGGGAGGCAGAGGCAGGAGGATCTCCATGAGTTCGAGGTTAGCCTGGTCTCCAGAGTGAGTGCCAGGATAGGCTCCAAAGCTTTGCAGAGAAACCCTGTCTCGGGGGAAAGAAAAAAAAAAAAAGATGCAGAAAGGTAGAGGGTGAAAAGAATTCTAAACACTTCATTTTCTGGCTGTTCAAAGGTGTCTGGAGAAGCCAATGAAACTCAAATTGCAGAAGCATTAAGGCGGTACAGTGAAAGAGCATTTTTTGTCCGGGAAGCTTTATTTCATCTTTTTAGCCTGACTCATGTGATGGAAAAAACAAAGCCAGAAATCTTAAAGGTAAGAACAAGAAACTGGTGATAAAAAATTTTCTAGAAGATTTTGTATATTTAGTTTTGACTTGTATTTTACTTCTTTTTTATTTTTAATGGGATTGATGATCCAGGTTTCAGTTATTATTATAAATAAGTTAATTGCATATCATTCCTGAAGTTTATGCAGTCTCATTAAGTAATATAAATGCTTTCCAATGCTGTTTTGTTACTTCAGACCAGTAACCCTGTGATGTTTTATTACATGAAAATGGAAGTATAGGAATGGACTCAGTATTCTGCATTGTGTATCAACCTTGTATTACTTCCCACTCAGAAGTGTTTTAGAAATACAATATTAGAATTCTGTAAGGTAGGGCTAGCCAGGTGTTGGTAGCAAACACCTTTAATCCCAGCATGAGAGGCAGAGGCAGGTGGATCTCTGTGAGTTCGAGGCCAGCTTGGTCCAGATGGAGACATGAGAGTTACTGGGGCTTGCTGGACACCAGAAACTATCTCAAAGTAACAAGGTGGAATGCTACACAGTAGGACAAATGATGTCCTCTGGTCTCCATGTTTCTACACAAACACATGTACATAACACCACTCACACACATACGACGTCTCCCAAAATGAATATTTCAATAAGGTAGGGCCTAGGGATGTTGCTCAGTTCGTAGAGTCTTGCCTAGGATGAATGAGACCAAAGTTTTAAACTCTTAACACTGTACAAACTGGGCATGGTGGCACATGCCAGTAGTCCCAGTACTTGGGAGATGGTGACAGGACAATCAGAAATTCAAGGGCATCCTTGGATACATAGTGAGTTGGAGGAAAACCTCTGCTATGTGAGACCCTATCTAAGGAAAAAATGTTCATTAAACTAGGTACATTGACACATACTCTTTAATCCCAACATTCAGGAGGCAGAGGCTGGTGGATCTTTTCAATTTGAGGCCAGTCTGGTCTACATAGTGAAATCTTGTCTTAACCCACTGTTAAGAGTTCTGTCTCATACACGTGTGGCCCTGGGTTCAATCCTCAGTATGACAAAAAAAAGGAGTGTTGTGGGGGGAGCAGTGAGATGGCCCAGCACTTAAAGGAGCTTGCTGCCAAGCCTGAGGAGGTGAGTTCAGTCCCCGGAACCCATGAGGTAGAAGGAGAGAACTGGCTGCCAAAAGTATTCCTCTGACTTCCAGGTACATGCATGTACATGCACAAATAAATGAAAAAAAATCTGTAAGGTATTTTCCCCTCCTGTTTTATAAATACCTGTTCTTTTGTAACAGACCCATGGTGTTAATCAATTAAGATGTTTTTGTAAGCTGAGAAAGATTTGAAGATTTCCTTTTTCATTTTTCTTGTTGTGCTGGGATTAACTCCAAGGCTCTTCATATATTGGACAAGTGCTCCACAACTAAGCTACACCCCCCCCCCAAGCACCCAAGAAAGGAAATTCTTTAAGTGTGTGTGGGGGGTGTTTTTTTAAGACAGGGTCTCCACGTAGATTTCGCTGTCCTAGAATTCACTTTGTAGATCAGGTTGTCCTCTGCCTCCCAAATGCTGGGATTAGAGATTCTGTCCTAAAAAAAATTAAAATGAACACAAGTATTTAGCTGGGCCTGGTGGTACAGTCCTATAATTCCCAATTACTCAGGAGACAGACTCAGGAAGGCTAAAAGTTCATGTTTGAACTACATCACAGAGTGAGCTCAGGGTCAGCATATATTACATAGCAAGAATTTGTTTCAAAATAAAAATGTACAAAGTAAGGAATGGGGGATTATAGCTCAGTGGTAGAGCATTTGCCTAAAATTCATGACCCTAATGTTTATTCCCCAGTATACACACACACACACACACACACACACACACACACACACACACACACACACAGACACCCCGAGAGGGAGGGGAGGGAGGGAGGAAAGGGAGAGGTATATTCAGTTGGACATGGTTGTATTAAGCCATATAACTCAGTCATTCATGAGGTAGAAGGGTTTCACATTCAAGCCCAAGTGAGCAACGTAGCAGGTTTGAGAACAACCTAGGCTTCATGAGAGCTTTGGGGCTGGGGAGATTGCTCAGCCGTTAAGGGTACTTGTTGCTCTTGCAGAAGACCCAGGTTTGATTCCTAGCACCCATATGGTGGCTTACAGCCATCCATTGCTCTAGTTCCAGGTAATCAATGGGCATGCATGTAGTACACATTCATGCATGCAGACTAAACGTACATATACATAAAAGTACAATAAATCTAAAAACTAAAAATAAGGAGACCTTGCCTTAATACAAATTTAAAAGTAGGGTGTGGGTGTGTGCCACTAACCCTGGAACTTTTGAGGCAGAGGTGAGCAGATCTCTGAGTTCAATGCCAACTTGGTTTGCAGAGCAAGTTCTAGGCTGGCCAGGGATATGTAGTTGAGACATTGTCTCAAGGAAGAGGTGGAGGTTGGTTAGAAGAGAATATTTGCTACACCCAGTGTTTCATTTAGTGGTAGAGGACTTGTGTTTGACCTCTAGCACAGATATACATAACCAACAAGTAGGAGCACAAGAAATTTAGATTTGATGAGGCTATATGGGCCTCAAGGATCTATATTTTAACCCCAGATAATTCTTCTTACGCACTTTAAATTTGTGAGTATAAGACTTTATTTCATATTTCATTTAGCAGGTACAGTCTGAAGAGGTGGCTTTTATCTACCATTTTATAGACTGTGAAACTGAGGGGTTAAGAAACAATAAGTCAGGGGCAGTGCTAGTACTGATTTGATACCCTAGGTATCTTAAATTTTTAAACGGGCTTGGATAGGAATCATAACATTCTATTATTGCCACTAATGCCTGTCACTCCCTCCAGGTAAACCAGTAGATGCTAGTACTTGCTATGTCTTTTTTTTTTCCCCCTTCCAGTTTTGGTGTGTGATGGAGATGTCTTCTGTACATATGTTTCTCTTATTGGTTTATGAATAAAACACTGTTGGCCAATAGGGCAGCAAGAATAGGCGGGTCTAGGCGATAAGGAGAATTCTGGGAAACAGAGTCAGATGCCATGGGAGACCGCAAAGGGGTAAGCTAAGACCACGTGGAAATACTTAGATTAATAGAAATGGGTTAATTATTAAGACAGAGCTAGCCAATAAGAAGCCCTAGTCATTGGCCAACAGTTTCATAATTAATATAGCATCTGTGTGTTCATTTGGGGCTAATGCAGCTGTGGGACCAGGCTGGTGGGGAAAAACATCTGTAACAGGTATGCACACCCCTCCCCCGCAGTAGGTTTTCTCTGTGTAGCCTTGGCTGTCTTGTAACTCACTTTGAACTCAGAAATCCACCTTCCTCTGCTTTCTGAGTGCTTGGATTAAAGGTATGTGCCACCATTGCCCAGCTCCAGCTTTGCTTTCTATAAAACTGAGCACAAAGAACTAGATATCTAGCTCTGATTTGAAATACTCATTGATTTATTTAGAGATTAAAGATTAAAGCCCATTTACCTAAGTAGAGTTTTGTTTTTAGACAGGATCTTGCTGTGTCATCCAGTTTGGCCTCATATCTACAGGCTTCCTGCTTCAGCCTCCCAGTACTGGAATTATGGGCAAGTGCAGTGCCCTTCCCCATTATTTATAAATGAATAGGTTTTAAAATATGCTGATCTTCCCACTCCAGACTTTTAAAAACGATGTAGAAATAATCATTTCCTTGAGTAGACAGACAAGGAAATGATCTGGCATATCCATGGAGGGGTCAACTTTAGAAAGGATTGCAAAAGATCACTTATGGTTTGGCAAGGTGTCCTGGTAAGGAGAATACATGCGGTAGTCAGAGTCTGAAGTTCTTTTCCAGTTACTTCAGTTTTCTTAGTGTGGTTGAAAGCTTGGTTTTCCAGGGCTGGAGAGAGGGCTCAGTGGTTAATTAAGAGCACTTGCTGCTGTTCAGAGAACCTCTGGGGTTTACATCCCACATCGGGCAGCTCACAACTGCCTATAACTTTAGTTCTGAGGAATCCGGCACCCTCTTCTGGCCTCTGTGGGCACATACACACATATGTACACACATACACACATAAGTAAGTAATAAAATACATTTTAAACAAAGCTAAGCTTTCAGCTGAATTGAAGAACAGAAGGGAAAGAAGACAAGTGAAAGAATAGTGGTCTAGTCCAGAGAGAGGATGGATTTTATTGCATTCTAACTGGCAGCACTGTTGAGGGAGGGAAGTTTGGGAACTGAGAATAATAATGGCCTAGGTGCTTTGCATATGAACATGTCTTTGAAGTTATTCCATAACAACAATGCAGCCTTATTATATGAAGAGGATTTGTGTTTATGAGGTCAATTAAGAGGACTAAATGTTTTGTTTTGTTTCAGCTTGTGGTTACTGGGATGAGAAACCATCCTATGAATTTGCCTGTGCAACTGGCTGCAAGTGCCTGTGTGTTTAACTTAACTAAGCAGGACCTTGCTTTAGGCATGCCTGTCCGGCTCCTCGCTGATGTGACCCATTTGCTGCTCAAGGCCATGGAACATTTTCCTAATCACCAGCAGGTAAGCACCTGTGAATTCCCATTTAAGTATTCTTAGATTCCTCTTTTACTGCCTCCTATTTCCATACAGTTCAATTTAATAAACCAAGCCTTCTTGTTTCTTGTTTTGTTCTTTCAAAAGAGGCTCTGTTGTAGCCCAAGCTGTTCTTGAACTGCTGATCCCCCAAATCCACTTCCAAAATCCTGAGATTAGGCGTGCATCACCATGCTCAGAATTAAAACTTATTGGTGTTCCAGGCATGCCTTTAATCCTAGCATTTGGGAGGCAGAAGTTGGTGATTTCTCTAAGTCTGAGAATAGCCTGGTCTACACAGCAAGTTCCAGGGCAACCAGGGCTACATAGAGAAAGCAAAAACAAAACAAAACACAAAACAGAACCAAGACCCTATTGCTGTAATTAGCAAAGGAAAACTGAGAAAGAAGTTTCATAATAAAATATTAAGAAGTAAGGGTGGGGGAAATAGAGAGTGATTGTAATAGGTAACAGATGTGGGATTTTATTTTATTTTTCAGTGTTAAGACTCAAACCCAGGCACTTGCCAATGCTGGGCAAATACTCTGTCACTAAGCTGTATCCTTAGATGAATTAATTAATTAATTAATTGATTCCTTTCTTTCTTTCTTTCTTTCTTTCTTTCTTTCTTTCTTTCTTTCTTTCTTTCTTAAGATTTTATTTATTATGTATACAATGTTCTGCCTGTATGTATGCCTGCAGGCTGGAAGAAGGCACCAGATCTCATTATAGATGGTTGTGAACCACCATCTGTTGATGGGAATTGAACTCAGAACCACTGGAAGAGCAGTCAGTGCTCTTAACCTCAGAGCCATGTCTCCCGCCCCGCTGAATTTCTTTTGGAGATAGGAAAACATGCTAAAAACTGGGCAAGAGATGTGGCCCAGTTTGTAGGATTTTTGCTTAGCATACACAGATCCCTGGGTTTAATCCCCAGCACTGAACAAAACTGAGTATGGTGGTGCCTTGCTATTAATTCAGAACCCAGTATATGGAAGCAAGAGGAGCAGGAGTTCAAGGTCATGTTCACCTACATGGCAGGTTTAAGGCCTAGTTGAATTACAGGACACTGTCTTAAAAGGGGGGGGGGGGTGACTGTACTAATTCTTCAGTCATAGGAGTATAACTTCATAGACTAAAAACCACAGATAACATGAATTGTATACTATATGAATTGTATCTTAGTAAACCTGTCATATAGTTTAAAAAAGTATGTATATATAAAAATTAGAGCACCAATCTGGGGTTAGTCATACATCAGGGTGCTAAAAAAACAGTAGTGGTTTTTCAAGATGGGGTTTCTCTGTGTAGGCCTGGCTGTCCTAGAACTCGCTCTGTAAACCATGCTGGCCTGAACTCAAGAGATCTGCCTGCCTTCACACATGACCATGTGCCCTGGCATTCTCAGTCTCTCCCTCTCCCCCTCCCCCTCTCTTCTCTCCTCTCTCCTGTTTCCTGTCTCCTGATGATGTAGCCTAGCAGGTAAGGATGTTTGCCACTGACATCCTGAGTTCAACCTCCAGAACCCACATTGAGAAAGATAGCTGACTGCCACAAGTTGTCTTCTGGTCCCCCCACCCCATCCCCACACAGATGAATACCTGAAATATAATATTTTTTGAAGTTAAAGACTTTCAAATACAAAATTTGTGCAGGCCAAATGTGGTGGTAAATTCCTGTATTCTAAGCACTTAAGAGGTGAAACTGGAAGACCAGGGATCCATGGTCATCCTTGACTATGTAGTGAGTTCAAGCCAGTCTAGGAAATGTGAGACCCTATCACAAATTGTTCACCTCCAAAATAAATTTTTGGTGATTGGTGTCTATCTACTGAAGATTAAGAGGTATTGCCATATATTACATGTATTTTATAAATATTTTCTCTATTTAATAACATTTAGGGAATTAGGAGATTGAGTGAAGTGCTTGCTGCACAATCTTGAGGACTACCTGAGTTCAGGTCTCCAGCCCTATAGGGGTAGAGGCAGGTGGATTCTGGGAGCTCTTTGGCCAGCTAGTCTAGCTGAAACTTTAGTCCAGGTTCAGTAAGTATATTAGTTACTTTTCCAGTCTGTGATAAAATATTCTGCTGAGATCAACTGGCTTAATAGTTTGAAGTTACAGTCCATTGTTGTGGGAATATCACATCAGCAGGAGCAGGAGAATTGGCTGGCGACATTCCATCAGTAGTCAAATGGTGGTGGTTTCTAGTGTTTAGCACCCTTTTTCCTTTTATCCAGTCTAGGATCCTAGTTTAGGGAATGGTGCATCCACTCATGGGTGAGTAGATTACCAGTGTAGACCTCTGGCTCCCACATACTCATGCATATCAAACCACGCATTCTCACCACAGATAGATAAATACAACATTTAAATGTTACTTAGCTTATGGCTCAGTGGTTCAGAGCACTTGCTGCTCTTTCAGAGGACCTAGACGAGCTCCCAACACCCACATAGCAGCCAACAATCATCTGTAACTCCAGCTTCGGAGGGAATCTGATGTCCTCTTCTGATCTGTGCAGGCATTGCATATACATAGTCCACATGTACACTCAGGCACACACAGATAGATAGTATATAAATAAATCTGCAGAGATAGGTGGATCTCTGTAAGTTTGAGGCCAGCCTGGTCTACAGTGCAAGTTCCAGGACAAGTTAGAAAGCTACAGAGAAACCCTGTCTTGAAAAACAATAAACAAACAAATGAAAAATGGATAAGAAAAGCAATGGAACCTAAATGGGAATGTACAAGCCATTCCAATGAGGGCAAGTTGCTTGTAACCAGACTGTAGGAAGGACAGTGTAGGATTAGGCTAATGATAGCCAAATTTAGTGAATGGCAGTATTGAAAATTCTTGAATACTTGCATATCTGAGGCTAGAGCAATAAAAGTCAAAATTCCAGCTGGTCAAAACTTGAAGAATGTAACAAATGTCATTTTCTCTGTTTGCTTATGATATTTTGCAGAGGGAATAAACCATTGATCAGATCCAGTGATGCTTCTCTGTTACCAATTTAAGCCATTAGTTCAATTAAGTTGTGTCTCTTTATTCCCTATGATGAGGTCTGCAATTCAGACAGAAAAACTCATAACACAGCATAGCGAGTACCAAGAAACAAGTCAGCTTAAGAGCTCTAATGTCAAAATTGAAAGTTGGAGACCGAAAAACAAGACCTTTGATGCCTTTATGATACTCAGAGAGCTTTAGCCCTAGCTGTCCTGGAACTAGCTCTTGTAGATCAGGCTGGCCTCACAGACATCTGCCTGCTTCTGCCTCCTGAGTGCTGGGATTAAAGGCATACGCCACTACCACCTGACCTCAGAGAGCTTCTTATTTTAGATTTTGGATTTTCATATTTGGTCTGCTTAACTGGTAAAGTCCATGCCAGTGTTCCCATATCTTAATGCTTGTCCTTCCTACACTCTGGTCAGAGCTGCTGCTTGTCCTTAGAGTAGCCGACCTATTCTCATAATGGTTCCACTGCTTTTCCTAACCAATTTTCAAGATAATGGCTCCAACATAACTTGCTCTTTGAAATCTTGCCTTTCACTAAAAGCTCTGAAGTTTGCTTTTTCTTCTCCCAGACATTTCAGCTAAGTAATACTGTACTGCTGGGAGCTCAAGGGAGACATCTCAAGCCTAAGAATATAGCTAGGAAAGCATCCAAGCATAAGAATATAACTCAGTTGAGAGAGTGCTTGCCTTGAATATACAAAGCCCATGGTTCCTTCCCTGGGAGTAGGGCTTACACTTGTTTGCCTGTAATCCCAGCACTTCAGAGGTAAAAGCAGGAAGACTAAAAGTTCAAAGTCATCCTCAGCTACATAGTAAGTCAGAGGCCAGCCTGGGCTGCATGAGACCATGACTCAAATGAATGGAGTAGGGAGTGGGGTGCAGGCCGAGACTTGCTCTTAGAGAGGTTTTCCATTCCCAGTTAGAATGTAAGAAAAGCAGCAGTCGAGAGTAAGCCGCCATGTGACAGGGTTCAAGAAGAGGGTTGTTTTTTTTTTGTTTTTTTTTTTTTAATTAGAAAAAAGGATCATAAAAAGGGGAGAGGGGAGACTGGCCCCAGAGACAGGAGCAGCAAGAGAGAGGAGAAAGGAAAGAGGGGGAAAGGAAAGGGGAGAGGGAGAGAGAAAGGGGGGAACAGACAGAGAGAGAAAGAGAGAGAGGATGGGAGGTGGACAGGGTCCGTATATAAGGGAACATAGTGAATATGCACTGGTGGTGCTCTTAGTGGCTGCAGCTGAGGGTGTATCCTGTCAGAACCCCAAGGACAGGTCAATACAGATGCCTAAATACTAACACCAGTGTCAACATGGAGGCTCCGCTGCAGACATTAGGCATACATGTTGGGCATATATATATACACAGGCAAAATAAAAATTAGTATTTTTTTAAAGTTGAAGGGCAACAGGGTTTCTCTGTGGCTTTGGAGGCTGTCCTGGAACTAGCTGTTGTAGACCAAGCTGGTCTCTAACTCACAGAGACCCCCCTGCCTCTGCCTCTAGAGTGCTGGGATTAAAGGCATGCCCACCACCACCCAGCAGTTAAAGGGCTTTCAAAGAACATAATTTAATATACTAATATAAAATCTGAATTGAATTCTCATGTTTAAAAGTATAAAGTTTTTCTAAAACAATTTATTCTTGGTAGCATTTATAAAGAATTAGTTTAAAGAACATACTTTTGATCAGGTGTGGTGGTACAAGCCTTTAATCTTAGTATTTGGGAGGCAGACACAGGTTGATCTTTGGTAATTCAAGGCCAGTCTAGTTTATATAGCAAGCTCCTGGACAGCCAGAACCACATAACTGAGAGATGTGTCTCAAACCAAGAACAAAAGTTTTGGTCTTTCAGAATTTAAAAACAGTAACTGGAGCTGGTTGTATAAGTAACTGGAGTTTAGTTGGAGTGTTTGCCTTGCATTCATGAGCCTTGGGTTCAGTCTCCAGCACTCAGCATGCTCACACTCTCCTCACACACATTTAAACATAATATTAAAAATATTTTTTAAAAGACTGTCTTTGGCTAAAAGATAAGAGAATGATGTTCTTTTCAGTTTTGTTTTGTTCTTTTTTCTCTCTCCTTTTTATCCTTTAGTTACAGAAAAATTGCCTGCTCTCACTCTGCAGTGACCGTATTCTTCAAGATGTTCCATTTAACAGGCAAGTAATAGCTTGACAACATGAATTCAGTCCCCAAGACCCACATGGTAGAAGGAGGGACAACTTGAGGGAGTTGTTGAGGGACTCCCCCGAGTTGTCCCTCTAATTTACATATGCATGCTGTGTGAGAGCATGCTTGTGCTCACACACTCACATAAAATTAATCTTAAAAGTTTTTAACAAAGGTCATGCTTAAAGCTATGATATTGAAATACTGAAGTGTTTTCATTATAGAAGATAAAATGCCAATTTTGACTATATTTCTGTATTATTGTGTCTCTGTGTATGTTCTTATGGGTGTGTGTTGTTGTTGTGTGTGTGTGTGTGTACAATGTGCACATGTATCCGTGTGAAAATCAGAGGTTGACATTGGGTGTCTTCCTCAATTGCTCCTTACCTTATTTTTTTGAGACAGGGTCTCTCACTGAACCTGGAGTTCACGGAATGGGCTAGACTGGCTGGCCATCAAGTCCCAGGGATCCTCCTGTCTCTGCCTCCCCAGAGTTAAGATTACAGGTATGCGTTGCCATGCCGAGCTCTTTTACATGGTGGCTGGGGATTCAACTCAGGTCCTCATGCTTGCACAGCAAGCACTTTACCAGCTGAGCTTTCTCCTCAGCCCCTATGCTCCTGTTTCTCTACCATTGCTATCACTTTGATGAGCACGGTGGTGCAGACCTATAATCCCATTAGGAGAATTAGAAGTTCAAAGCCTACCTGGCAACTTACTGAGACTGTCTCAAAATAAAAACAAAGAGCCAGGTATGGTGACACATGCCAGTAATCCCAGCACATGGAAGGTGGAGTCAGGAAGGTCAGCAGTTCAAGGTCATCCTTGGCTTCATAGAGAGTTTGAGGACAGCCTGAGCAGCATGAGACCCTGTCTCAAAAAGACACAAATAAGGGCTGGCAAGATGGGCTCAGCTGATAAAAAGCACTTTTTACAAAAGCCCGACCACCTGAGTTCAAACTCTAGAACCCACAGTGGAAGGAGAGAACTGATTCTCAAAATTTGTCCTCTGATTGCCACATATATATCATAGCATGCCTGCACTCTCATGCACATCATAGATAATTAAACACACACTACAAGTAGGGAAAATAAAAATAATAGACAGTATAAATAAATAAGATAAAGATCTGGGGATATATCTCTGTGTTAGAGCTTTTGCCCAGACAAGGCCCTGGGTTCAGTTCCCAGCATAGGAAGGAATCCAAAAATGCAACATTTTGAAAACTCTAATGGTAATTTGCTATTCACATTCATTAAGAGAAAGCTTCCCGGGCTGGAGAGATGGCTCAGAGGTTAAAAGCATTGACTGCTCTTCCAGAGGTCCTGAGTTCAATTCCCAGCAACCACATGGTGGCTCACAACCATCTGTTATGAGATCTGGTGCCCTCTTCTGGTGTGCAGATATACATGGAAGCAGAATGTTGTATACATAATAAATAAATAAAGTCTTAAAAAAAAAAAAGAGAGAGAAAGCTTCCCTTCCCACACACTAAGTTGTAGGTAGTATCAGCCTTCACCTGGCTCCCTGAAATCATACCTGGATCTCCAAGACTGAGGAAACCCTCTTGTGTTTTCAGGTTTGAAGCAGCCAAGCTTGTCATGCAGTGGCTTTGCAATCACGAAGATCAAAACATGCAAAGAATGGCAGTTGCTATCATTTCCATCCTGGCTGCCAAGGTACCTGAACTTTGCTGAATGATTTCCTAAAGGCAGTGGTTGCTCATTACAGTTCTACTGCCCCCCTCTGTTTGTGTGCCAGAAAAGTTAGTAAACCTCTTTGCTACCCTGCTTACTTAATTTTGTTGAATATTGCAGAATTGGAGACTAATGAGCTATTTCAGTCTGGCTATGGAGGCTGTTATGGTAAATTATAGTAAACTCACACCTATTAATACTTGGACCTTTACTTTATCTTTATTTGCTTCTAGCTTTCTACAGAACAAACTGCACAGCTTGGTGCTGAGCTCTTCATTGTCCGGGTAAGTTTACTTTCCCTCTTTTTAGGATACTACATAGTGTTTTGGTGTTTGGTTTGTTTTTTGTTTTTAATTTTTAAAAATTATTTATTTTATGTGTATGGGTACTTTCCTTCCATGTATGTCTGTGCACTGTGTAGAGGTGACCTGGGGCTTGTGGAGTCTACAAGAGCGAATTGGATTCCATGGGACTGAGTTATAAACAGTTGCAAGCTGCCACGTGGGTGCTGAAATTAAACCAGGTTCTCTTGAAGATTAACCAGTGCTCTTAATCTCTGAGCCATCTCTCCAGCCCTTGATAGTATTCTTTTCTTTTTTCCTGACAAGTAGTGTGGTATATCTTTTGTGGATATGTATGGGTATAGGTGTACATGTTCCTGGGGATATAAGCCAGGGCTTCACACATGCTAAGTCATCTTTCTACTACAGACCACCCCTGTCCTAGTCTCTCTCTATTTGTTTTAATTCATTCACTTTTTCTAAATGAATGTATTCAATTGTTTCTTGTTTTGTTTGGATTTGATTTTTGGTCGTGTGTAGAGTTAGGGGTTGACCTTGCCAGGCAGGTTTTCCACCACTGAGCTGTATTCCCGACCCCAAATGTATTCTTTTTTTCCCATTTTATACATTTATTTCATTTTTATGTATATGAGTCTTTTGCCTGTGTGTATATTTGTACCATGTGCATGCCTGGTGCCTGTAGAGGTCAGAAGAATATAGTAAATATCTTGAAACTAGAGTTAAGGATAGTTGTGAGCACCGTGTGGATGCTGGGATTTCTCTGCAAGTGCTCTTTAATCATTGAGCCATCTCTCCAGGCCCAAATTTTTTTTTTTTTTTTAATTGAAGTAACTTTGGTCCTTGACAGACACAAACAGCTGTGAACTAGTAGTCAGTCCTTGGCTCAGGGATTAAAAGCACTTGCTGCTCTTGCAAGAGGACCTGGGTTTGGTTCACACCACCCACACTGAGTGGTCTATAATCACCTGCAACTCCACTTCCAGGGGATTCAATGCTTTGTTTTTGTTAGGGACATATTTTGAGTTAGGCATGGTGGTACATGCCTTTAATCCTAGCACTTGAGATATGGAGGCAGGTAGATCTCTGTAAGTTCAAGGCCAAACTGGTCTACATTGTGAATTCTAGGCTAGCCAGGGCTACATAATGAGACTCTGTCTCAAAAAGCAGAGGTGAAGGGCTTTTAGGAACTATGTAGATACCTCAGTAATTCTGGCTGACAGAATATTAAAAAATTTAAGAGAGTGGTCTACTTGGATATATTTCATGTAAGTAAAGTTAATAGTAATGATGATAATAGCTAAGTTTGTTGTTCCTGAGGTTGAACCCAGAGCCTGATGCATGTTATTCAGCCCCAGAGCTGTGACTAAAGGCACGCACCACCACACCTAGCTCACAAACTGCATTTCATAGGCTAGTTATTATAGATGTAGCTTATAAGACATGTCAAAGCTATTGTTATCTTAAAACCCCGTGTAAACTTCAGTTCTCTTATCATTGAGTGTGTAGCCCAGGAAGGACTTGAAGTTGTAACAGTCTTCCTGCCACAGCCTCTCAAGTCCCAGCGTTACAGGTGTGAGCTACCATGCCCAGCCTTTTCCTTTTTTCCTTAAAGAAAACTTGAAATTTGTTAGAATTGGGCTCTCTAATTATTTATTATTTCTTATTTACTTATTTATTTTTGGGTTTCTCTGTGTGGCTTTGGAAACTGTCCTGGAACTCGCTCTGTAGACTAGGCTGGACTTGAACTCACAGAAATCCACCTGCCTCTGCCTCCAGAGTGCTGGGATTAACGGCATGTGCCACCAATGCCTGCCCAGTGGCCTTCTAATTCTTTTATCAAGTTGATTATGACCAAATTATTTAATATTTCTTAGATTCAGTTTACCTCCAGAAAATGATACTGTGGAAAGAAAACCAACTCCTGTGAATTGTTCTCAGACCTCTACACACATGCTGTGGTTTGGATGGCCTCCCCCCAACACACTAAATAATAAATACATATAGTTTACATTTTTTAAAACCTTTACAGGGATGCTTTAAGCTATGAGAATAGTCCTCATAGATTTGTGCTTATTGGTAATCTCAAATTATGACAACAATTCAATAATGAAAACTTAACTCTTTTTTTCTTCCTTAGCAACTTCTTCAAATAGTGAAGCAGAAAACTAATCAAAATTCAGTGGACACTACATTGAAATTTACTTTGAGTGCACTTTGGAACCTCACAGATGAATCCCCAACAACATGCAGGCACTTCATTGAAAATCAAGGGTTGGAACTCTTCATGAGAGTTCTAGAGGTAGAATGGAATTTTACTTAACAGTTTGAATGTGGTTGATTTCTTTGAACTATTTATCTATTATATTTGTTTCTTTAGATATTTATATGTTCTTTCTCTTTTTTTTTATACAGTCTTTCCCAACTGAGTCATCCATTCAACAAAAAGTTCTAGGACTTTTGGTAAGTTATATACCATTCCTGATTAATTACAAGGCATAATTATCTTCTGTGTGTGCATGCACACACACACACACGTGTGTGTGCATGCACGCGCGGTAAACAAATGGGGATATAGGTCCATTGGTAGAGTGCTTGTCTAGCATTCATGAAACTTGGTTTCCATCCCTCTGCATCATACAAATTTGGATGTTTAAAGAAAATACAAACATGAGTATAAAGTATAAAAATGAGATTACACTTGGGAGATGAAGGGTGGGGACAGGAGAATCAGAAGTTCAAAGCATCTTCTCCTCTCATAGCCAGGGTTACATGATACCTTGTCTCTAAAAGAAAGAAGGAAGGAAGGAGGCTGGGAGTGGTAGTGCAGGTGAATCTCTGTAAGTCCCTACATAGTAGTGAGACTCTGTCTTAAAAATAATACATAATAAATAAAAGAAATATAGAAAAATGGCATTGTGTTGTTTTTTGAATATGTAGTGACAATGGAAAACAGATAAAGTATAATTACTAAATTAAAAAGATAAAACAAGCCTAGTGTAGTGGTACCATTCTTTAACATCAATACTCAAGAGGAAGAGGCAGGTGGATCTCTTGAGTTTAGATAGAGCACAGCCAGGGTTATGCAGAAAAACCCTGTCTTGAAAAACAGAAAAAGAGTATTGGTTTCAAGGAGCGGGGGCGTACACCTTTAATCCCAGCACTTGGGAGACAGAGGTAGGCAGATCACTGTGAGTTCTAGGACAGCCTGTTCCGCAGAACAAGTTCCAGGACGGCCAGGGCTACATAGTGAGACCCTGTCTCAAAAAAAAAAAAAAAAAAGGAAAAGTATTGGTTGCTCTTCCAGAAAACCCAGGGTCAAGTCCTGGGTAGAAACCCACATGGAGAATCACAACCACCTGCAAGTCTAGCCCCAGGGGATCTGATGCCCTCTCCTGGCTTGTAGTCACTGTATACACCTGGTGTATACTCATGCATATAAATTTTTAAGACCTCAAAAAATAAAATAAAATAAAAGTTTTGTTTTGTACTGGAAGCTAACCCGGGCTATATTAGAAGCTAGCTCTGTAAACTAGGCCAGCCTTGAACTCACAGTCAAGAAAAGTTTTTTTAAAGAAAGAATCCATGATGGCAGTCAGTGTCAGAATGGCAGCAGGAATAGAAGCTGACAGCTCACATCTTGAATTCCAAACATGATGAGAAGGGGCACACTGGGCATGGTGCAAGGCTTTGAAACCTTAAAGTATGCCCCAGTGACAAAGTAATACAAGGCCACACTTCCTAAACCTCCCAGCAGCAGCATCAGTTTGGGACCAAGTGTTGAAGTATCTAAGACGAGGGGATACTTACTACTCAGACTACCACAGTTTCCCTTTCCTTTATTGCAGTCTGCAAAATGCCTCCTTGTGTACTTTGTCGATCACCATTAGTGTCTGAATGTCTAGTGTCTGAAACGGTTGTCCTAGCTGTTTCCTTTGCATAAGACTTTTATACCTTCTTTTTCTTCCAGAACAATATAGCTGAAGTACAAGAGCTACACTCTGAATTAATGTGGAAGGATTTCATAGACCATATCAGCAGTCTCCTGCACAGTGTGGAAGTAGAAGTCAGTTACTTTGCAGCTGGGATTATCGCCCACTTAATATCCAGAGGTGAACAGGCATGGACCTTGAGCCGTAGCCAGAGGAATTCTCTTCTTGATGATTTGGTAGGGCCATTTTTGTAACAGTTAAATATAAAAGCTTCATTGTAAAGTAACATTGTTAAAAATATTGTAATATATCCTATGTCTTGTGTCTTCTAGCATTCAGCTATTTTGAAATGGCCAACTCCAGAGTGTGAGATGGTAGCATACAGGTAATTAGCATGATTATTAAGTAATCTGGTCATTTTTCTTACAGTCTTTCTTGAAGTATCTCTCATAGTACTGGTTTTGAGTAAAGTAGCTACTCATGGTGTGCATGCTTATAATCCCAGCACTGAAGAGGCTGAGGCAGGATTGCCAAGTTCCTGGCCAACCTGGGCTATAGGACAAGACCTGTCTCAAGGGGGTTTAAAAAAGTATTGTGATTTGTTTTCTACTATTCATTCAGCATTCCTTCCTTTATCCATATTGATTGAAGGCAGATTTCTGGAATTTGTCTTCTGCTCTTTAAATTTAAAGATGACCAAGAGGGCTGAGTTATATGCCTGATAAAGTGCTGTCTGTGTTATTCATAAAACCCTGGGTTTGTGAATCCCTATCACTACATAACCAAAGTATGGCAGCCTGAGTCTGAAGTGCTAATGCTGGGGCAGTGGAGACAGGAAGATCACAAGTTGAAGGCTGTCCTAGGCTACACAGCAAGCTTGAGGGCAGCCTGGGATACATGAGACCCTATCACTCAACTCCCATCCTACCCCTACCACAAAAAAACAACAACAAAGGGGCCTTAAGGAAGGCTAAATCTGCCTGTGGCAAATTAGGTGGGAAGATAAGCAACTTATTGTCTGAAATACTCCCATTGCTGCATAAATTTATTACGACTTATTTTTATTGGCCACATCATAATGCTGGCTTGTGTTTTAGATTTTATTTTAATTTTATATGTGCAGTCAGTGTTTTGTCTGATTGTATGTCTGTGTACCGTGTGCATGCGGTGCCCTCACAGGCCATTGGGTCGGTCCTCTGGACCTGGAGTTGCAGATGGTTGTGAGCCTATATGTAGGAGCTGGGAATCTAGCTGGGGTCCTCTGGAAGAGCAGCCAGTACTCTTAACTGCTGAGCCATCTCTCCAGCCCCTCTTCAACAGTTTTTAAACCCATTTTTGTTTAGACCAATACAAACAGAAAAGCAAATTCTGTACCTTTTTCATGGGGTTCTGCCAGTTATCATGGACTGTCTCCATTTTCTACTTTACAAATCAAAGTCTTTAAAGTGTGTATCTAAGGACCAATGTGGTGGTTCATCTCTGTAACGCCAGTACTCAAGAAGCAGGGAGATGATTCAATGGGTAAGAGCTTGCCTGAGGATCTGAGTTAGACCACCCCCACCACAGTGGAAGGAGAGGACTGACTCCCAGGGGTTGTCCCCTGACCTCCCAGTGCGTGCTTGTACTCGTGCACTCACACACAGGACACAATAATAACTTTAAAAAGTGGCAAATGTAGGAGAGCAGGCTAGACTACATAGCACATTGAAGGGCAGCCTGGGCTATGTACTGATTCCGTAGGGTCCTCCTCTCCCCCCCAAAAAAAAGGTAGAGGCAGACAGGGCTTTTCCATGGCATTCCCTAGGCAGTGGTTGTGTCAAGATGAAGCAGCCACTGGCTGTCAGAAACTCATTATAGTAGATGATGAATGCAAGCTTCATCTTCCTATAAGAAGCCCCTTGCCACAGAAGTGGCTGCTGGTGCTTTGGGTGAAGAGTGGAAGGATTATGTGGTCCGAATCAGTGGTGGGAATGACAGTTTTCCCGTAAAGCAAGCTGTTTTGACCTATGGCAGAGGGTACCTGCTGTTGACTGAGGAGGTTTTTGGCTTTTTTGTTTGTTTTGGGGGACAGGGTTTCTCTGTGTTGACTGGGCTGTCAGGAACTCTCTCTGTAGATCAGGCTGGGATTAAAGGTGTGGTCTGGCAAGGGGTATTCTTGTTAATAGATCAAGGAGAACTGGAGAGGGGAAGCACAGACCTGTTCAAGGATACATTATGGATGCCAGTCTGAGGAGTATTCTCAACTTGGTTATCTCCTTCCCCTCACCCCCCTGCAAAAAAGAAGGAGAGAGGAGATTCCTGGACTGATAGATACTGTGCCTTGGCAGTTAGAGTCCAAAAGAGCTAGCAAAACTTTTGAGTATCTCTAAAGAAGATGATGTCTGCCAGTATTTCAGAAAGCCTCTAAAGAAAGTAAAAAAGCAGGACCAAAACACTCAGTCAAGTCAAAACTAAATCTTTAAAGTTACAATATCTGGGAGGTAGTGGCTGGCACACACCTTTAATCTAGCACTTGGGAGGCAGAGGCAGGCCAATCTCTGAGTTTGAGGCCAGCCTGGTCTACAGAGTGAGTTCTAGGATAGTCAGGGATACACAGAGAAATTCTGACTCAAAACAACAACAACGAAAAAAAACAAAACAAAACATAAAAACCAAAGGAAGGGCTGGAGAGATGGTGCGGTGGTTAAGAGCACTGGCTGCTCTTCCAGAGGTCCTGAGTTCAATTCCCAGCACCCACATGGTGGCTCACCATCTATAATGAGATCTGGTGTCCTGTTCTGGCCTGCAGGTATACATGCAGAACATTGTATACATAATAAATAAATCTTTAGCAAAACAAAAACAAAGGAAAGGAGGAATGCAGTCAAGTGGATGTGTGTGAGGGCTCTTACCTATAACTGTAGCACCAGGGAGGCTGAGGTAAGAGGATCACAGGAAGTTAAAGGTGCTTAGGATTGGCTAAAGGGTAAGACCATCTTTTAAAAAAAAATAAGGAATTATTTGTTTGTCTTTGGTTCTTCAAGACAGGGTTTCTCTGTGTAGCTTTGTAGACCAGGCTGGCTTCTAACTCAGAGATCTGCCGGCCTCTGCTTCCCGAGTGTTGTGATTAAAGGTGTGCACCACTACCACCACCTGGCCCATTTAAACATTTTTTAATGTTTATTTATTTTGTGTGGAGGAGCAGGGATGCTTGTGCATACTGTTGGTATTCATGTGAAGGCCAGAGGACAACTTTCAGTTGGTTCTCTCCTCCCAACAAGTGGGTCAATGCATTAAACCCAGGTTGTCAGACTTGGTAGCAAGTGCCTTTACTTGCTGAGCCATTTCACTAGGCCAGAAAGAAAGATTTTTAAATATATGTTACTTTATTTTATTTTTTAGAAAAGTCACATATTTGTATTTTTATTCCTACCCATGCAGCCTTCCCTTCCTCTCCTTCCTGGCCTCTTCTTGCTCTCCTCACTTAGTCACTTCTTTTCTAGAAGAGCAGCCAGTGCTCTTACCTGCTGAGACATCTCTTCAGCTCCCTCCAATGTATGTTTTCTGAGTCCTCCTTTTTTATTCCACTGGCCAGAATGTCTGGTTCTGCCCCTGTGCTGTGCTGCTTTATTCTTATGGCTCTGTACTATAGTTTGAGGTCAGATACTCTGCTATTTCCAGCATTGTTCTTTTCTGCTCAGATTGTTTTGACATTCAGCGACTTTTCTGTTTCTTTTTAAAAGTAGATTGTGAGTGTGTGTGTGTAAGAGTAAACATGCTTTTGCCAACATGCTGTGGTATGCATTAGACAGTCAGGAGAACTTTTGGAAGGCAGTGGTTGTCTTCTGAGGTTCTGGAGCCTAGTTTCTCAACAGACTTGCAATGCAAGTGTTTATCCCAGGGACCACATCACAGGCCTGCTTGTGTGTTTTCATGAGAGCTTCAGGGTGTTTTTCTAGTTCTGTGAAGAATGCCATTGAATTTTCATAGAGGTTGCATTGAATTTGTAGATTGCTTTCAGTTATGTGACCATTTTCACACCATTAATTACACCAACCCATGAGCTTGGAAGTCTGTCCACTTTTTTCAGTGTTGTCTTCAGTTTCCTTCTTGGTGTCTTTAGACCTTCGTTCCCTGGCTAGGTTATTTCTGGGTGTTTTATTTTTTATGTAACTACTCTGCATGGAATATTCTTCCTTGAATTAATTCTTAGCAGATTTGCTACTGCTATAGACAGAGGCTGCTAATTTGGGGATGTTGGTTTTATATGATGCTGCTTTGCTGAAAATATTTAACAGAACTAAGAATTATCTCCAAATGGTAATAATTTGCTGCACAGTGGTGACACATGCCTTTAATCCCAGCACTTGGGAGGCAGAGGCAGGCGGATCTCTGTGAGTTTGAGGCCAGCCTGGTCTACAGAGCAAGTTCCAGGACAGCCAGGGCTATACAGAGAAAGCTTGTGTTGAAAAACCAAAAAATAAAAAAGTAATAATTCGATACCCTCCTTTCCCATTTATGCCTTGTTTATTTTATCCTTTTGTCTTACTTCTTTTCTCTACCTAAAACATGAGTCCTAAATTAAGTAACAGTGGAAAAAGTGGAATTCTTTTCCCAGTTCTGGTTTTAAATAAGGAAATTATCTATCTATCTATCTATCTATCTATCTATCTATCTATCTATCTATCTTTGCCTTTTGATGTATAGTGTGAGCTTACATAGGCCTGTTGTATTGGGCTAATTTCCTCAGACTTATCATGAAAGCTGAATTTGTAAAAAGGCCTTTGGTGATTGAGATGATCATTATTTCTGTTCCCAGGTCTGTTTATGTGCTATATAACATTTATTGATGTGCATATACTGACCTATCCTGAGTCTCTGGAATGAAGCCAGATTGGTCATATGTGTTCTTAAATTGCTTTGTAGGAATTTAATTCACTTTTGGCTTTTGTTTGCTTTGGTGGTTGGTTGGTTTCTGTGTTTATGTTTTGAGACAAGCTTCCCTGGCCCAGAAATCACTATGTAAACCTTCAGCTCACTGAGATCTGTCTGCCTCTTGAGTATTGGGATTAAATGTTCACCACCATTCCAGGGTTCCCTCCACCCTCTAGACTTTCAATCATTTTGCTTGCTATAGATCTGTTTTAAGTTGTATATGTCCTCTTTGCTTAATTTTGGTAGGTCATTTAGAATTGTATCAATTTTTCCAATTTTCTGAAATACAATTTCTAAAAATATTCTCTAATAATTCTCTGAACTTCATTGTAATCTGTTGTAACACCTTTAAAATTTCTAATTGTATTAATTTGGGTCTTCTCTTTTCTTCTGGATAGTTTAGCTAAGGGAACTGTCATTTTTATTTTTTTTCTAAGAAGCAACTCCTTACTTAATTGATTCTATGCATTGTTTTTAGTCTCCATGTTCATAACTTTCATCCCTGTTTATGGTTTGTCATTCACTGCATTGGGGTTTGACTGTTTTTCTAGGACTTTGAGGTACAACATTAGGTTGCTCTTTTAAGATCTCTCAAAAAAAATTTTTTTTGACACATGGACTTAGTTGCACAAGCTATGTTGTTTTCTAAAGTAGTAGCTCTAGCTGCCTTTGGTACGTATATATTTACAGTTGTTCTATCTCCGTGGTGAATGGCTCTCTTTATTAATATGTTGTAGCTTTCACACCCTCCCCCCACTTTTTTTTTTTTAAAGACACGGCTCTTTATATCACCCTGGCTATTCTGGAACTCACTGGCTATTCAGGTGCTCAGTCTCTAAACCAGACTGGCCTCAAACTCAGAGATCCATCTGCTTCTGCCTCCCAATTAAAGGTGTGAGCCACTACATCTGTCTTCTTGTAACTAATTTTAAAGTATAAAGTGTACTTTTTCAGATAGATATCTAAGGGGGAAGACCAAAAATGGAAAACAAACAAACAAAAAGCTTTTGAAAGATCCACACCCCTCCCTTATACATATGTTAAATACCTTTTGTATGCCATGGTGTCTCAGTGCAGTCCTTTTTTAAATAGCCATGACAAAGAAAAGGTGTGTATTGCTTTTTTAGAAATGGCACATAATTTTTTTGTTTGTTTGTTTGTTTTGTTTTTTGAGACAGAGTTTCTCTGTGTATCTTTGGAGCCTTTCCTGGCACTTGGAACTGTAGACCAGGCTGGTCTTGAACTCACAGAGTTTCACCTATCTCTGCCTCCTGAGTTCTGGGATTAAAGGCATGTGCCACCAACACCCAGCCATGTATTTTCTTAAAGATGTAAGACTCGCTGCTTAGAAATGATGCTTTGTATAAAATGTGACTTTGATTCTTTAATTTTGAACCTTTAGATCCTTTAATCCATTTTTCCCACTACTTGGCTGTTTTACAACACCGGGAGTCCAGCTGTGGGCAGTTTGGGCCATGCAACACGTCTGCAGCAAGAATCGTATGTACCAAAATTAGAACCGTGGTTCAAGTGAAATTCTCCTTTACAGAAAGTCATTTGAGGGTGGGGGTAATGGGTTGTTGGGTTTTTCCTATGTAGTCCTGGCAAGCTGGCATAGAACTCACTGTATAGCTCAGGCTGGCCATAAACTCTCAGCAGTGCTCTTGCCTCAACTTTGAGTGGTGAGATGGACATGTACCACCATGCCTAGAACATGCTAGACATGACTCTTCACTAACATGTCACTTCAGCTCTGGAAGACATGGAGTTTTTGTTTTGTTTTTAAGAGGTTTTTTGGTTTTGTTTTGTTTTGTTTTGTTTTTGTTTTTTTGAGACAGGGTTTCTCTGTGTTTCCCAGCAGTCCTCGAAATGTGTAGATCAGACTGGGCCCTAGCTTAGAAATCCACCTGCCTTGGTGCCTGTTGAGACCAGAAGAGGGCATCATATCCTCCCAGAACTGGAGTTGGAATGGTTATAAGCCACCATGTGGGTTCTGGGAGCTAAGCCCAGGTCCTTTATAAGAATAACAAGTGCCTGTTAGAAGTGAGCCATCTCTTCAACCCTAAGCTTGTTTATTTTACTATGTAACCCTGGCTTTTCCGGCCTAGAACTTGCTATGTAGACGAGGCTGGCCTCTAACTCATAGAGATTCACTTGTTTCCCAAATGCTGGGATTGAAAAAGCCACTGCCAGGGCTGGAGAGATGGCTCATAGCACTGACTGCTCTTCTAGAGGTCCTAAATTCAAGTCCCAGCAATCACATGGTGGCTCATAACCATCCATAATGAGATCTGGTGTCCTCTTCTGGTGTGCAGACATACATGGAGGCAGAATGCTGTATACATAATTAATTAATCTTTTTTTTAAGCGCTCAATAATAGCTTTTATTATCACCTCCATCGTTCAGGAGCAGGGAGGAGTGGAAAAGCAAGGGAAGGGCCAGGGGATATGGGGGAGTTGTGAGCGGGGAGGCAGAGGAAAGGCACTCTAACCTGGGCTGGGGCTGGGGCTGGGTCTGAAGGGGATGAGCCTGCTTGTACTCCTTCCCGCACATGAAGTGCCAGGCATTCTCGACACAGCAGCAACCATGGTGGGGTTTCAGGGTCTGTCTCTGGGGCAGGCTGTACCATGCATTGTGGGTAGGCAGCGTCCATAGAGAGCCAAAGACAGCCTGCCTGCCTGCCAGGGCCAGAACTCAAGGAGGGCATTGAAATTGGTGATGATCACAACAAGGGAAAGAAGAAGGGGATAGAGGAGACCACAATCTCAGGAAAAGATGTAACACTCATGCCTGGTAGCCGGGGAAGGCTGAGGTTGGTGCGGGATGATTCGCCCACTAAGGGATACAGAGTTGAGGGATCAGCAAAGAGAGGGGGACAGGACAGATAAAGGCACAAGGTGGGGTTCTGGCCCGGCCAGGAAGGGAAAGAAGAAGGGGATAGAGGAGACCGCACACCCAGGAAAAGATGTAACACTCATGCCTGGTAGCTGGGGAAGGCTGAGGTTGGTGCGGGATGATTTGCCCACTAAGGGATAGAGTTGAGGGATCAGCAGAGAGAAGGGGACAGGACAGATAAAGGCACAAGGTGGGGTTCTGGCCCGGCCAGGAAGGGAGATGGGTGGCTAGGGGGTAAGGACTGGATTTCTCCGGGCGCTTTCAATTCCGGGCTAGGGTATCTGGGGCACAATACAGAGTGCAGTCCAGGCTAGTGGCGTTCCTCCACCGGGCCGGCCATCTCAGAGGACCAGCCCGGGACTGGGTGCCCCCTCACACCAACGCATAGTCGAACTGCCCTCGTTCGAGCGCCTCCTTGAGGGGGTAAGGACTGGATTTCTCCGGACGCCTTCAACTCCGGGCTAGGGCATCTGGGGCACAATACTGAGTGCAGTCCAGGCTAGTGGCATTCCTCCACCGGGCCGGCCCTCTCAGAGGACCAGCCCGGGACTGGGTGCCCCTCACACCAACGCATAGTCGAACTGCCCTCGTTCGAGCGCCTCCTTGTAGTCGGTCCAGGACGAGGCGGGCATGCGGCTTTAGGGGTCTAGCAGTATGCGCACACAGTGCACCATCAACAGAACCAACACCACGAGCAGACAGAGCATGAAGGCGAACACCGTGCATCCAGGCCTGCGCTCACCGGGGGACTCGTCGATGGCGGCAGCGGCTCCGGTGGTCGGTCCAGGACGAGGCGGGCATGCGGCTATAGGGGTCTAGCAGTATGCGCACACAGCGCACCATCAACAGAACCAACACCACGAGCAGACAGAGCACGAAGGCGAACACCGTACGTTGCTCGACGTCCAGGCCTGCGCCCACCGGGGGCCCCGTCGATGGCGGCAGCGGCTCCGGTGATAGTGTCCACGCCGCGTTCATAGCTCACATCGCCGCGCGCCCTGCGAAGAGAGGGGTGCCCACCCCGGGGTCCACGGGGATGAGGCTACGCCCTCCCTGCACTACCACCCACCCCTTCCGTAGTCGCCCCTTTGCAGTATCTTGCAATATCCTCCCTGTCCGTGCTGCCGTCCCGGGCTACGCCCATGTTTAAGCCCACTGACATACCCAGTTCCAGAAAGCCTTTTTTAAATTATTATTTAAATTTTATTTTATGGGTATGGATGTTTTGCCTACATGTATGTCTGTGCATCCCTTACATGCTATCAGATTCCCTAGAACTGGAGTTATAGACAGTTGTGAGCCACCATGTAGGTGCTCTTAACTGTTGAATCACCTCCCCAGCCTCCAGAAAGCCATTTTTTTTAGTTTTTCAAGACAGACAGGGTTTCTCTGTGTAGCCCTGGCTACCCTGGAATTCAAGCTGTAGACCAGGCTGGCCTCGAACTCATGTAGATCTTCCTGCCTCTGCTGTAGTGCTGGGGCTAAAGGTGTGTGCCATCACACCCACCCAGCTCAGCAATTAAGAGCTCCAGCTGCTCTTCCAGAGAACCTGAGTTTGAAATTCCCAGCACCCACCTGGTGACTCAACCATCTATAACTCCAGCTCCAGGGGATTTGATACCTTTTTCTGGCTTTCTCTGGGCCCTGGCATGCAAGGGGTACACAGACATATGTGTAGACAAAGCACCCATACACATAAAATAATTTTTTTTTTAAGATTCCTGAATTCAAGGGAATAAAGTAGAGATTGGTAGAGGAGGACACCTGATTTGTGAGGGGCTTTTTGTTTTTGAATTTTTAGACAGGGTCTTTAATATGTAGGTTTGTTACATGTTCTACCATGCCTGGCCTTTGCATTTTGTTTTGTTTTAAGCTCTGAAGAATTTGTTCTGGTTGTGGGATAACTTCAAAACTTATAAATATCTTAAGAGAAATGTTGTCATGTTTTCTTTCAGCTTCAAGGTACTGCAGCATGCTGATTGAAGAAGGAGGTCTGCAGCATTTGTACAACATCAAAGAGCATGAGCAGACAGATCCCTACGTCCAGCAAATTGCTGTAGCCATTCTGGACAGTTTAGAAAAACACATTGTGCGCCATGGGAGGCCCCCTCCCTGTAAAAAACAGCCCCAGGCCCGACTAAACTGATAGCCATAGATAGTTGGATAATGAACAGCAGGAATCATTTTTGTGGTTGGAATAGTGTGCTCTGGTGTTGGGGAGTGTGAGTGTGAGTGTAAGGGTCCTGTGATCCATTTGGGATTGGTGATGTATAGTACTGCCCATGTGAACAGTCTGATTTGTCTTGTGATTTTTTTTAACTTATGAAGCAAGAAAGGTCTTCCTTCATTATTGTCTTTTAAGAAATCTTTTGGTGTTTGAACTTAACCTGTGCTTGAGATTTTACAGTTTTATGATTAATTGCACGAACCCTTACGCCAGACTTCTCTAGAGTCCCTTCCAGGTAATTAGCAGCGTGAGCAGGACTGCTGACATGATGTCAGCACTGCTTCAGTTGTGAGTGTTATTCTGCTTATGTAAAATACCTTCATTCTCTGTGTAGCTTTCACAAGGTGTGCTTCTTTGTGTGAGTGGAAATCCATTGTGTCTCTGGAAGCTCTGTGCTGTTTGGCACCTGGATGACAGTCAAAGAAATACAAAAGAAAGAAGAACAGAGGGGAACAGGAATTAGACATTGCTTTTGTGGTATGGCTCTGAGAATGGGACAATTCTCCTTGCCCCCCCCCACCAAGGCCAGGAGCAGGAGCTGTTTTCCATACTGAAGTCTGGAAGCACGGACTGTCTTCAGGTTACTCCAGAGATACTTCCCCAGTTACCTCAGTATAACATCCCAGCATTCTGTGTCAAAGCCTCTCTGAGACACTGTCATGATGTAAAAGAGTGCAGTTTTTTAAAATGTCATTGGTTAAACTGACTATTTTTACCCCTTCTTTCCCAAAGTCATTCTTATTCAGTGGAGTAGAGACTATTTACAGAGTTATTTTGCTTAGTTAAAATACAATTAACAACAGAAAATTTGCTATGAAAGTTTAACCTTGAGTTGGGTGTAGCTCAGTGGTAGAGTATGTTCTTAGCATGTATTGATTAAATACTCAGCAACATACACACAAATGTTAATTTTTTTCTCCTGATAAAATATGGGTGTCTGTCAGCATAAACGCCTCATACTATACTCGAGTCACTCAGGAGACTAAAGCAGGAGGGGTGGAGCTTGAGACCAACTTTTGTTAGAATGACATTCAGTGTATGTCATTATGTCTTTGTGTTAGAAAAAGATGTCCACATCTCACTTCCAAACATGCAAGAGAAGAATAGGCTGCTGCTAAATGGTTAAATGTGTAGCTGAGCAGGTAAAAGGAAATGTTTTTGATGGACTTTTAAAAAGACAGTTGCCTTTAAGATGATTGATGTAATGAAGACTCAGTTATTGTCCTATGAACCTGAGAGATACCAAGTTACCAACAAACTTAATTTCAATTTCATTTTTCATTTTAGACCGGGAATCATTTCATTTTAGACCCATAATCCAGTAATCAATCACAAGGGTGAGACAGAAGGAATTACAAGTTGGAGATGAGCTTAGGGTACAGAGTTGCAAGCCAGCCTGGGCAATACACAGAGACCCTTTCTCACAAAACAGAACAAAATTTTTATTTTAAGGGGAGTTTGGTAGCACTTGTCCTTAATCCAAAACATTAAAGAGCAGGGGTCATTCAAGGCTAGCATGGGCTAGATAGCAAGACCCATCTCAAACAAGTACACTTACATCTTGTTTTGTGTATAGGTTTAATCTGAAATGTCTTCTGACCACATTTTGTTCATACTCATCTAAAATGTTTTCAGTAGAGTTTTAAACTGATATTTTTAAATAAGTCAGAAACATTTCAGTTTAGAAAGGAGCTAGTTTAAGCTGGGCATGGGGCACATACCTGAAATCCTAGTTAGTGTGTGGAAAATGAAGGCGAGAGGACCGTTAGCTCTAAGTCATCCTGGGCTACACGAGAGTCCAGCTGATTGATGTATTAGTATGCTTTCAACATGTCTGACTCATGTTTCACGCCACTGTCACAGTCTTCAGACTTGAATGTTTTGGGCTTCCTTCATAGGAATGAGTGCTGAATCAAACTGAAAGGACACATACATAGAATTATCAAAAAGCTATATAAAACAATGGTTTAATTTCTTTTTTTCTTTTAGTGGTTTAATTCTTACTTCATTGGTTCAAGGGATTTTTAGAGCTGCGAGATACATTTTCACCTGAGATGGTTGCTCAAACCTATGATTGACCACTGGAGAGACAGGATTATTGAATATTTGAGGCTAGCCTGGACTATTTAATGATGCCTGTCTTAACAGCTTCCCCCACAAAAACTCATTTTTCATAGTTAAGCATATTTCAGAGAAAAGAGAATTCTTTCAAGGGAGTTTTGCTTTTTGGTGACACTTCACCCTCAATTTTAATGTCTAAAAGTAAAATTCTGACAATAGGATAGTCTGCAGTATCCTGTTGGTGGTGTTGACCAGCCAGGTCTATCTATATACTTTGGAGAAAGCCTGCTTGAAAACTTTGGCTTTAAGTGTCAAGACAAGGTGCATGTTCCTAGAGGCTCCTTCTAAACTTTCTGCTTTTACAAATCTTTAGAAAAATAAAGTCAAGTGTGGTGGTACACACTTGTATTCCCATTATCGCCAGCCACATAGCAAATTCAGAACCCTAACTCAAGAAGCAGAACAAGAAATGGTCAAAAAACTACAGAGGTTTTCAGAATAATCTGACACATGAAGACTCAAAAAACATCTCAATTTATATTTTGCTGGCCAGTCATGGCTACATTGCAAAACTAAAAATCATACCAAAAAACAAAACTGACCACATCCCAGATGTATCAAGATGTGTGTTTTGATTTTTGTTTGTGGGGGATGGTGTGGTTTTGTTTTTGAGATAGAGTCTCACTAAATGTAGACACAAGGCTGTAGTCTACTTTGATCCCACACAGTTGACAATTCTGAGTAAGTAGTAAGATCCCAGGCATGTGCTATTGTGTCTGGCGCTGGGGTGCTTATGAAAGCCATCATTAAGACAGTTTTCAATAAAGTCCTGAATATAGCTAAAATAGAGTAAATATATGTTTGGTATGTCCAACTAGTCTTTACAGGCCTCACCTTTTGTTGTTTTTTTGTTTTGTTTTGTTTTTCCAAGACAGGGTTTCTCTGTGTGGCTTTGGAGCCTGTCCTGGAACTCCATATGTAGACCAGGCTGGCCTCACAGAGATCTGATGGCCTCTGCCTCCCACGTCCTGGAATTAGAGACATGCACCACCACCACCCAGTAGGCCTCCCCTTTGTAATTGGAGACCATAATGTAAGTACTTGGTACCTCCAAAGTCACTGGCTTAAGGGTGTGCTTTCAGGCACAGTTTAGGTTAAGCTGAATGACCTTGCTGAACTCATAGGTGTACTCAGACACAAGCCATTGAGTCAGCAATAGCAACACTTGGATCTGCTGAAGGAAGTGCATCCACAAGGTCCCAGGTCTAGTCCCCAGCACCCCTCCCAGAAAGGAAATGGAATTAGACTTTGTAAGATTGTAATCAAATAAAGCAAAGTATAGCAAATCAAAACATCTGGTGTTTGTGCATCGAGTAAGTTTTGCTATAGTCTTTATACTCTGATTCTTTTTTCTCCTTTTGGGTTGAGAGTATAACTCTGCTCAGTACTAGAATGAGTGGCCTGAGTTGAATTCCTACTATCAGAAAAAGAGAGAAGGATATTAAATGTTTTTTTTAATTACCTATAAATCAAGAAGTAAAAAGGGGTGGACACGGTGACTACTGATCTTAACCAAGGGTTGCCCCTGATTGTTGCTGCTTGTTAGCTTGGTCAGGAGAGTTCACCCACCATGAGGATGAGTGGAAACTGCCTTGGGAGTTTGCTTCTGTATTTTTTGTTTCTAAAGAATCAAAGATTCATGTTTAAACTAACCAACCATGAATGCTTGGTGGCACATGCCTTTAATCCAGTACTTTGGAGGCAGAAGCAGGTGGATCTCTGTGACTTCACATAGTTCCAGGAGAGCCAGGGCTATTTAGTGAGACCTTGTGTCAAAAAAAATCAAAATAAGGACTAGAGAGATGGCTCAGTGGTTAAGAGTAGTGGCTACTCTTCCAGAGGTCCTGAGTTCAATTCTCAGCACCCACATGGTGGTTTACAACCATCTGTAATGCAATCTAGTGCCCTCTTCTCTAGCCTGCAGGTATACATGCAGGCAGAAAACTGTATACATAATATAAATAAACAAATCTTTAAAACAAAAATAAGTAAATCTTTAAAGCAAAAAAATAAATAAATCTTTAAAACAAAAACTGCGTCAATCATAAAAATTTGGCTAATAAAGTACCTCTTACAAATGAGTTCTTTTATGCTGGCCTGTTGTCTTCCTAGTCAGTTTTTGTCTGTTTTTTACTTGTTTGTTTGTTTGCCTTGTTTTATCTCTAACCAGAGCTCACTTAGAATTCTCAGCCACCCTGCCTGTGTGCCCCAAACACACTTCACCTACCCGGCATTTTTTTTTTTTTTTTTTGATACAGTGTTTCTCTGTATAACAGCCTTAGCTGCTCTGGAACTCACTTTATAGACCAGACTGGCCTTGAACTCACAAAGATTGCCTGCCTCTGTCTTGACAGTGCTGGGATTAAAGGTGAGTGCCACCACTGCCCCGACTGCCTAGCTTCTTAGTCACTTCAGCAAGGCTGTTGTGTTAAGATAACACTATTCTGTCTTTGATACCCTTCAACCATACTTTTTCCTTTGGTACATGTTACTGAAAACATTGAATGTTGGGGTGATTTTTTTTTTATGATTTATTTATTATGTATACAGTGTTCTGCCTGCATATATGCCTACATGCCAGAAGAGGGCACCAGATGTCATTATAGATGATTGTGAGCCACCGTATGGTGAATTACCAGGAAATTTGTCTCGGTTTTTGGTTTTGCTTCATTTTGTTATTTGAGACAGGATCTTATGTAGCCCAAGCTGGTTTCAAACTCACTATGTATCTGAGGATAACTTTGAACTCTGCCTCCCTATACTAAATGCTGGGATTATAGGCATGGGCCATCATTCCCAGCCATTTTGCTTTTTTAAAAAAACGGTTTATTTTATGTGCATCAGTGCTTTGCCTGCATGTATGCCTATGTGAGAATGTCAGATCCTCTGGAACTGGAGTTTACAGAAAGTTGTGAGCTGCTGTGTGGGGATTGAATCTGGGTCCTCTGGAAGAGCAGCCACTGAGTTTTCTCCAGCCTTCATTTTTGCCTTCATTTGTTTTGAGATAGAGTCTTAATAAATTTTCCAGGCTGGCCTGAGCCTTCTGAGTGCTGGGATTATAGGGGTGCACTAAGACAGGCTTGGCTTAGTATTTTAAAATACATCCTCCTCCCAGAAGCTCAGAACAATGTGTAGCAGTACTCCAAGTTGAAAAGGAGAGAATGGATCATTTTGTATATGGTAGCCTGCAACCTGTCTCCTCCAATGGCACATTTTTATTAGTTGGTTATTGTGAGACTTCAGTTATGACTCAACAGTGTTAATAAACTGAAGTTATAGATTATAGGCAGTGTCCTAATGTCAGCCCTTCCAGTTTTATCTGCACATTATTTATGTGGAGAGTTTGTATGTTTGGGCTTCAGAACTGCTCTGAGACTGCTTCCAGAGAGGTTTGCAAACTTGCTGCCCTTCTTAAATCCCATGTGGAGGTTTCATATGACCATCTAGTGGATATTGGATATTCAGTTGTCATTTGCTGTATGTTGACACATTTTTAATTCTTAGTGTTAACTCAAAAGTGTTCATTTTAATAATAATGTAAAACCCACCAGTGATAGAAATAAGACTACGATAGAGAATTTTGCAGTTGAGTTTTAGGTGAGTCATGGTTTGTGTTACTTAGAATTTCATGGGCTTTGCATGATGTGGCACACTTTGTGGTACATGCATTTGTTTCCAGTCTTAATCAAGACACCATGGTGACTAACAGCCTAAGAAAGAACATTTTCTGTCTTTCCTAGTTTTTTAAAATTAAATTATACAAAACCCAATTCAGTTTCTTAGTGCTGAAAGGATGGCTCTTTAGGACAATACAGCCTCGCTGACAGACCAGTGATGAGTAAGAATATGCCAAGCAGTGTGGTAGCATATGCTGTAACCTTAACATGCAAGTGCTGGGCCAGGAAGGTCTTGAATTCTATATACACCCATATTCTCAGATACCAGGGAGGCTGAGGCAGAAGCATCATTTGAGGACTTGAGTGGGGAGTTTAAGATGAGCCTTAGCAACATAAGATCCACCTCAAAAATTAAAATTGTTAGCTGGGTGTGGTAGGGCACAACTTTAATCCCAGCACTCAGAGCAGATCCCTGAGTTTGAGATTAGCCTGGTCTACAGAGTGAGTTCCTGGACAGAAAAAACAATTTTATATGTTTTTTTCTAAAATTATTTTTTGACAGATCATAAATCTATTCCATTAAATGATAAATGCTTGACTTTGAGCTTACTTTATGGAAAACTTTGAGTTCTTTTAAAGATTTTGTTTGTTGTTTTTTTTTGGGGGGGGTGTTTTTTGATACAGGGTTTCTCTTCTGGAAATCACTTTGGAGACCAGGCTGATCTTGAACTCTCAGAGATCTGCCTGCCTTTGTTGTTTTTTGAGTCAAAACTCTCAATATGTTGTCCTAGCTGACCTAGAACTTGCTATGTAAACCAGGCTGGCCTCAAACTCAGAGAGATCCACCTGCCTCTGCCTCCCAAATGTAGAGATTAAAGGTGTGTGCCATTATACCAGACTCTCAATCTTATTTTAATTGATTTTGAAGCAAGAAGTTCTTAAGTAATGAAAGTTGACACACCGTCATAAAAGGAAATCTTTGAGAGATTTTTTCTTCTAAAGGTTAATGTTAGGTCAAAATTTCTCAGATAATCTGCAGAAACATTTAAAGCCAGTGAGATGGCTTACTAGGTAAAGTTGCTTGCTGCCAAGCACGGGCTCAATTTCGTGTATGGTGAGAAGCCCCATAGTAGGAGGAGAGAGCTGACTCCCACAAGCTGTCCTCTGATCCCTATGTGTACATTATACACACTCATGCTCCACACTAAATACTTAAGTATAACAAAATTAATCACCGACTTTTAATGTCTACACCCAGGAGACAAAGCAGAAGGGTCTTGAATTGGAGGCCAGCCCAAGCTACTAAGTGAGGTCCAAGCCATCTTCAACTATATAGAAAGACCTCGTTTGAAAAGTCCAAAATAAGTAAATTAATAACAAAATATCTGATTTTTCAGGATTCCTCTGTCAAATTCTAGACTGTGTATATGAAAAGCTATCTTTTGCTTGAACTCTGATGAGTTTAATCTTTTTCAAGGATCAGGAAACCCATGGGGAAGTTGAATGGTGTATTTCAAACACAATTCTGTATTGTCTGGGCTGAAGGTTTTCTAGTTATGGCCTGGTGAACAAGAAGAGCATTCTGCTCTTATACTATATATTCAGATGGAACATCACTTACGTATTAATGTTGTATGTACAGATTGGGATTTTTTGCCTAAATAAATGTTACAAATTTTATATAAATGTGTTGTTTCATTCCAAATCCTTTGAAAATTAGTATTAAGCCTTAATAATCCATTATGAGTGCTTTCTGAAATCTGCAGAAGTCTGTATGCTAGAACATCATTCCATAATGAAGTACTTATGTTAGAATCAGGCTCGCTGGCTCACCCCTATAATCCCAGCACTTAGGGAGACTGAAGCAAGAGGCTCAAGTCCAAGGCCAGTCTGTGTGATATAGTAAGACTCCCCCACCTCAAAAATAACAAAAAGCGCCTAGGTTTATCACTCAAACATGCTTAAGACACTTCAAGGAATTTAATTTTAATGGGGAAGAATAAAAGATACTATTTGACAGTGTGTTCCAGAACAGTCTGAAGTGCCTTGTTACAGGGAACGATTATCACACCTAATTCTAACTGGGCAGTGAGTCCAATCACTGAAAGGAGAAGAATCCAATCTAATCATGAAAGCCAATTTCCAAACTTTTTTTCTTTTTCAAAACACTATTACCGTGAATACTTCTTGCCCAGCTCACAGAATGGAGCCGGTTGGCACTTGGTCAGTCTGTGATTTCAGCTTCTTCTTGCTCAGTGCTGTTATTGTAGACACTTCTACAGTAAAACACGGGATGTCACAGAAGAGACCATTTCCTTCTTCAAAGGGGGGTCAAAGACACTAACAACCCGATGAATTAGGATAGGATTACTTCAAAGTGAAGGTTGAGCCATAGAAGATACAGAAAGAGATCTTGAGTGGGTGAAGGCAGCTGCCAATCCCAAGAATACACATGGTAGAAGGAGAGAACTACAAATTGCTCTCGGGCCCCCATATGTTTCATGGTATGTGAGTGCCTCCCAGCATCCCAAACAATTCATATACAAAATTAATGTAATAAAGATTTCCAAAAAAGAAAGAGAAAAGAAGCTATATATCTTACTGGGTATATAGCTCGTGGAAGAGTATGTGCTTAGCATCCATGAAAAACTGTGTTTTGTCCCTAGCACCCAAAC